GTCGTTTAGTTTAGTTCTATTCATTTAATTACCTCGGGAAGCAGGGCGAAAAACACGATTCAGCTTTCTGCACGCACCCACCTACCACCGTGTAAATTTATTGTTACCGATATATGTTGCACTGCTTGTAATTATCGCCAGGAGGATGTTTGAAAATAAATCAACTTTCAACCCCGATTAATTTTGGACGCCAGTGCCATGAAACGTACGCGTACACAGTTCAGTGCGTCGAGCTTTCACGGCCGTTCGACCAATGCTCTTTTCTGTGGGGACGACTTTTCGAAGGGCGGCCACTCTTTCGGAAGAACAGCTCCCCCGAGACAAAGAGAGTATTCATAGCAATGTCAACGGATCAATCCACAATCAAACCAGAACAAAAATGGAGTAGGGTCATCTTGGAACCTTGTTACGGGTCACTTTGTAATCTTGAGTTGGGGCTTGTATTGTCTGAAAGTCCCACTCACTTTTTCCACTCGAGTCGGGCGTGGCGAGAAGTTACTAAAGAGGTTATGCGTCAACGCGTACGGTACTTTGAGGGCAAAAGTTTTTGTGTCACTGGGACAGGCTCGAGTAAACCTTCTGTGCATTCGTTGTAACTAAATTCAAATAACAAAGAACAACCTCTGTGAGAGCATAACCTCTATAACCTGCGGGGTTCTACTCTCGACGAGGACTCCGTAAAGGCAGCAAAAGCGGAGCATCCAGAAACAATCATTAGACTGACGTCCACTGGAAATTTCGCGCATAATGGAGCCAAGCTCATTATCTTGTCAAAGCGACGAGGGAGGAACTCCAAGAAAAGTTGCGGGCAGGTATAATGGACGGCAGCTTTAGGCCAACACTGTTGTTAGAGCGTGTTGTTTGGAGAAATTTGTGAAAGGGCAGTTTGATGCTCGTTAACTCCAACCGGGTTTTTTTTTGTCTGTCTGTCCGTCGTGAGTGATCACCAGATTGGGCGGGGGGGGGATTAATGACATTGGAGGGAGTTTTGAGAATGATGATGATGAGAAAATATGATCTGCAATGTTTCGCTGCATGAAAACCTTTGGAGGTTGTTTGAATAGGAATCGACTCAAACTCAGTCCAATCGAAAAAATGTTACCGGACCATGCAGCCTGGTGGTTTGGGAGTGTAACTCGCAATCGCAGGGTCTGGGGTCCAAACCCCTCAGCTGGTTATATACAGTCATTTGCAAAACTTTAAGACCAACGGTACAAATGCATTAACCTAAAAAAAAATTAAAAACTTAAACCAATTAATCTTAGCAACTTATGTTCATTTTCAATGTATAACCGCATTGAAGATAAAATGTCATACAAGACCTGCCTTTGAAAAAAAATGATTCAACTGGGCTTATGCATGCAGCACGACTCTGGTGTTATCACCACCATAAACAACATGTTATATGATTCAATGCAGGTCCGGTGACAGAAATACCAACAAAATTCCACGTGGTCTTAAACTTTTGCAAATGGCTGTATATTGTGACTTTGGGTAAGTCAATGACTGTTGGGGCATGCGTTTTGACGTTTGCACTTAAAAGGGCGGGATTCAAATTGTATACACCCCAAGGGAGCCGAACTGGCCATCATAGGAATGTTTGTGGGCCCCACGAGTGGAGACAAATACGGATGCACATGTGCAGCAAGAGGAGTTTGTTGGTATTGCGCCAAATAGATACGGCAAGTTTGCTGCCGAGCGGACTCTCAAAGTGTCACAGGAATGTAAAATACTAATCGTTCGCTCGCTGGGTGCGTGTGGATGTTGACAGGTTAAATCACAAAACACATCTTTGTTCGGGAGAAACCCACAGAATAAGGGGATTTCACAAAACCATTTGTCGGTTCGCGTGGCCGGCTCACGTGGCTCATTTTAGCCCCGGGCACCTGTCAATGAACGGCGCGTGGCCGGGACTGACCAGGGATTCAACGGCAGGGGATGCTAATACCTGACGATATAATCCCCCATTCACCGAAACTGTACATTCCCCTGCACATAATAAGTGACGTCGCTGAAAAGTGTCGTCATCAGAGACTCTGCGTCTCTTTCCGGTCAGGGGATCAAATTAAACCCCTTGTGCTACAAATCCAAACATACAAGTCCGATTCAGCTTAGCATCGCCAGATACTGAATAGATGGCGCAATCAGAACCGCGAGAAGGGGATTGTCTGCCCCCTTTGAGTGGTTGACTCCTCCCTAAATCCCCTAGACAACAATTTAGAGCTTTTTTTTTTTTTTTTTTTTTTGCTCCGGTAGGCCAGATAGTCAGAAATGGTTGACTCTTCGATGGTTTGCGATGCAGTCTGAATGAATTCGTGCCTCGATGGGGGGTGGGGGTGGATTGGGTTATTATTAACCGATGTTCTGTAGGTTAGAGCCTTGGTCTATAGTTATTAGAGGTGCTCCAGATTGCCTTGGATGCTGGCACCGAGTCGGGAGCTTTGTCCTCCGGGGGGAGCTACGGCAGGGCTCGACCCTCTTGGCTCGCTCTTGAGGAGTTCACGATCTCCAGGGGGTCGGGCAAACTGGAAAGCCGTGAACAGAAATAAATTAGAGACAGAAAAATCGGGCTGCGGGCCGGGACGGGACACAATCGCTGTGTTCAGGCTCGCCCAAGATGCGAGAAAGTGCCGTCTTACAGGCACTTGAGGTCCCAAATCACAAGAAAAGCGGAGCAGGAAGTTTGAATCGGGTATTGTCGCATCGTGACTGCCACCTGCCCATCTTCAGCGCTTCTCTGCGGCAGGTCTCATCCAAGCGACGTCAATCACGCGGACAAGCCTCCGTGCCCAGCCCGATTGGATTTTCCGGATGGACACCATGCAGCAAGCGCACTTTAAAAAAAGGAGAGAAATCGGGGGAAAAAATCAAGCACACGAAAAACAAACTGCATTCTCCTCATCGAGATTTACGAAACAAGTCCAGGGATAAGAAGATAAATTGTCTTCAACATCCACTAAGGAACATTGTAGGTATAGGCCAACTGTGTAATAGCTAGTACCGACTGTCTGGAAATGTTTCCAACTGCATATTGTGTAAATAGGTTATGTCGTGGCATTTCCCTTACTGGGCTCCCTTTTACCTCTTGGAACACCTTTATAATTGCTTTAGAATTGGATTCAGCTGATTTCGGGTATTTGGAAGTGTCATAATCGACCATAAACTTTAAGCCAAGCGTGCCTCAGTGGCAAAACTGCGACACCTACAAGCAACTCTTGAATCGTGGCTTGCCAATAGAATGCTTTCGCAATGCGTACCGCATTTCGTTAAAAAAAAAAGAAATGTCGATATTCCACGACTCTTTGCCTGTGATTTATTTTCAACAGAGAGCCGAAATAGAGTCGTAAGTATCAGTTCAGTTTGAAATGAATGTGTTTGATGGTTGCCAGGGGCGCATCTCATTCCATTCTTAGAAGCCATCAGGTGTGGACGAGGATGAATCGTCATGGTAAAGAATACGATACAGAAAAAACAAACATCTGTTTTAGGTCCTGAACTGTCTTTGGACACCAGGAAGGGGTCTGACACGGCTCGTAGGTCATTTTACGACAAGGGCAGCAAGGAACAGCCGACCAACGACGGCGACAACGCGCAACTATGTTAAAAATGAACAGGCCAGTGTCTCGCTGTTCCATTGCATGTGTCTACGCAATCGAAACACGAAAAGAGAATATCGTGGCCAATCAGCATAGTTCTCTGGTGTACAGAGCATGGGCATCCGCCCAGATGACCCATTTACCTATAAATGCCAAATTGAGACGATCACTTAGCCTATTAAAACACCAAGTCGTGTATTGCAGAAGCAAGCACGTACGTGTCTGCAACGTTACCGTAAATAGAAACCGACCTCAACTCACCCAGAAGCGACTGAGGTCGTAAACAGGTAGCACTGTGCCCACGATCCGACGAAACACATCGCTGTAGCCTCTTATCACCGACGCGTCTCTTCATCAAATATCTTTGTTTTACCAAGGCTTACCTCAATGTTGTATGGTTTTGTTTATCTTTCGCTCAATACTGTTGTTTAAACGATCGCCAGGATTTTGTTACATTCACGGATACCAGGATTTGTTATTCTGTTCGTTAATATAATGCACTTCTGTGCCATCTGCAACGAACCTTTTTGGCATCTGCACTGCCTACTTCATCATGAATGATAAAAGCAAGAAACTAATCAACAACAACAACAAAAATTGTTAAAGTTTGTTCGTGTTCAATCGTGGGTTTGAATTTATTTACCATGTTTAATCATAACCGTATTTTCTCCACAACTCGCAACCATCTTTGTTCACCAACTTGACTGTTCCACTTCCCACAAGGTGAAGTAACAGCTGAAACCCGCCCCCCCCAAAAAAAAATCGCTGATTCCGACACTATATTAATCCACAGCGAACAGAATATGTGGTCGGACGAGAGACGAAACACAACTGAAATATAAACTCAAGAATTACTGCAGCAAGGATACGGGCTGTAGTGAATTAGGCTTGTACGTTAGATGCAATGGGGTTGATCGATTTAAATCTTGCACCAAAACTGTGCTTTATCGTAGGGAAAGGAATGCGGTTTGTTTCACAGCTTCGTCCTGCAGCGATAACGTGATTTGAATAACACGAACGAAACCCAGAATGAAAATTATGCAAATCGTCACCGCCTCGCCTCATTCGGGCTACCCCGGACCCCCCCTCCCCCAATATCATTGTGCATGCGGTGGGGGTGGTAACAATATCCCGTTGAACAACTTGCGCGTGGATGAAAAACACAGCGCCGTCTCTGATTTGTTGAAATGACTTCAGCCCTATAATTACGCGTCAACAACCGGGGCGTAGTCCTCCCTTTTGTCCTACTCGCGTGCCCGTCGCGAGCCCGTAGCGAATCACCCGGTCACCGCGTCCAACTCAGCCAGCCAATGGCAGGCAACGAACATCCCGTTGCCCAGGGAAGAGATAAAAAAGAAAAGATGATATTGTAGAGGCAACCCCCTCTTTTGTCATATGGTCCAGGGACCGGAGACACAGATAAAGAGAGCATGGAGCATTCATTGGCCACTAGTGGAGGTTTGGAGGTCCAGGAGACGAGTACAGCAATCGCTGACGCCGAGGCACAACCTCCGGCAGAGAGGAACACCGATCAAGCCCCGGCACTGTCTTCCGCCACCGAGATCGTGCAGGGATTTCCCGAGGGCCAGCAGTCGAGAGCCCCAGTGCAGCAGACAGCAACTCGCTGGTCGAGTCGACGGAACGGAGGCAGGGCTAGCAAGGCGCAGGAGCGGGAAGAACTCAAGAAGCAGAGGAAGATGAGGATTGAGAAGGTGCGTTTGAGTCGAATACGATGTCTCTTAATTCCTTCATTGTCCATTTCTTTTATCACTGTATCGCTCCTTTCCTTTCACATCATGTTGTATAGAAGACCACATTTCCTTCCCCAATGCTTATACAGACTTCATTTACTGTTGATTTAAAGCATTTAAATCAAGCCCTCAGTACTCTACTATTCCTACTCGAGTTTCAATCATTGAATTAGTATGTTTCAAATTGCTCAGTTTGCTGAAGCCACTGTGGAAATGATTAATCCTTGAGGTGCGATGCGATATGTTCATTAAAGTCTCAGGCCATCAACAGGTCGAGAAAAGTACAGAGCACTTACAATTACTTTGACTTGAGAATGATAAGTCGGTGGTTATAAAGGTTCAGTCTGGGAATGGAAGAGAGACTCTTCACGGACAGTGTCTCGGTCTTTCACGAGTCAATCGTTTGGCCTGAACCGTTGCAGTTTGACGACTTTGTGGAATGGATCGACGGTGACGTGTCCTTGCGATACCACCCCAAGGATTCCGACGCTCGAAAACACCTCAGCGGTTGGGCCATGCGAAATACGAATAATCACAACAAGAAGGTGCTCAAGAAATCCTGTCTTGGTAAGTCCGAAATCACTCTACAGTTTTCCTGTACTTCTAGAAAAAAAATCTCATACTGCTATAAAGTTTTAAGAAAATTACTCCAGTGTTTTAAATAAAATCAACATCAGTTCCACAAGATCGGAACTGGTTGCCGAGATAAGTCTACGGGACATCATCCATCAAGAGCCGCCCGTAGGCGATCAAATAACTGCCAAGACGGGTGTAAAAAGTAATACAAACCACTCACGCAAGGTCCTTCCGTGGATCCCATATTGGATGACCCGTGCAGACACCATCAACCTATCAAGTACGTGAAATGTTTACGACCAATGTGTGGGCCGCTTGCAGTGGATCACAAGTAGGTGAAGGCATGCGGATGTCGTCACTCTTTCTGGGCCCGGCCCAAGATCAGCAGCCCAAGATGCCATCTTCGAAGTCCCTGCACTCACGGTACGTGTAACGGCTAAAACGCCTGGGCATTGCCGTATGCGAAAATAATAACAGATTAACAATAGGTGCGAGTTTGATAGCTGGCATAGGATATAACAGAAAGCGAGATGAAGTCTCCCCGTGCTGTGTACACTGAATGTATCTGGTTATCCATCGTAATCGACAACCTATTATGGGTGTGTAATTTTCTATTTCTTAAAACAGCATTTCCACCCGCCTTTCTCGCTCTACATGTCGCGTCATATTAGTTGACGAAATAAGCATTTCTATACAGAGAACAAATTCTCACCTTAAAAATTTTGTTCGCCTGTCGTCAGGATATCAATTTGATGACCTTGTAGAACCATTAGGTCATAAATTAACTACCCTCGGGTGGGCTCGGCTTGTTTCATATCAATAATGTCTTCCTTATCTGCCACTTTCTCCGAAGAAGTTGATGTCAATAACCCTTGCCATTCAAGCCTGATATGCAGCTGATAAATTGTCTTTTATTTGACCATGATGGCTTCATTATTTACAGCAACGACCACTGCCCCAGGGTCGGTGTTGAGAGTTCCCCTGACGGGACGGATGTTGGCCCCCTTGTGATACGATCCCGTACGCCGCGCGCAGCGCCAATGTGTGTAAGCACCCATGTACTCCTATTCACGGTCGCGCGCTCGCTATTGTTCCGGGCCCGTGCCGCGCTCCTGTCGCCCTGAGCGCTGGCTTGTGCTGTGTCCGTCGTTTACAACTTGTTGATCGAGGTGTCTTTGGCACGTGGCGGCGGGCGCTCGACCCGTGGTGTTTGCGTTAGATTACCCTGGCTGTGGTAGTGGTGGTGGTGGTGGGGGGGGGGAGTTCGACTTAACACAAGTGGACGGGGACCATATTAATTTCACACCAAGAACTTATCATGAGAGGAAAGCTCAGCAGTTGCTGATCTTTGGATGGCGTGGGATTGCTTGATATGAGACCCGAACTTGACGATGTTAGCTGTTCACATTATTCAAAATCATGCTATTCTCTTTTCCGCGTTGGCTCCTTCCTCCGTGGTTAGGATCAGTTTGGTTTACGGTCAAATTGATTTATTTTGGGTGCCAGACAGCCACTTCACGGAGTCGTGTTTGATTTTTCTACATCAAGCTCCAATCATTGCATTCTGAGTGATTTCTGAATTGAGTTAATTTGCGCACGTTGCGTCTTCTTTTGTCGGGCACAAATGCGACTGCGTTTCACGTTATGACAATTTACTCTGAATGGGGAGAGGGGTGGATAAAAACTAGGGACGCACAAAAAGGAAGGGACGCGTGTCGGGAAGAAGCGACCATTGAATACGTCCAAGGCTGCCTGGCTTGGAGACAATTCCTGCAGACTGCAGGGCCGGTGCAAGTCTGGCTGCGTTGGCCCAGCCGTCGCGGCATCGCACGGGCTAATCCCCGTAAAATAATCGCATCCACACGGCGAGAGGAAAAGCACCCACATGAAGCCCTATTGGCCTTTGTTTCAAACTTGTGAAATCCTTCATAATTTGTTGTATGCTCCATAACGAAGCAAATCCTCCATCGTTTTGTTTTTTTTTCTCTCTTTTTCTGAGCAAAGACTCATTTGGAGGTGTGTATACAGACTTTCATTAATTTCCTGAACATCTTTTACCCTCCTTTGTTTTTCCTAAATACTGGGGTTCAAAAGCTGGAAAATTTTACATTTTGCCCATTGCATATATTTATGTAAAACACCGTCCAAGCATTTTAAAATAGAGGACTCATTGCCCAAAGAGTCCCCAATTGAAAGCTAGAACTCAGTGCGATTTTTTTTTATTTATCAGAATCGAGAGCGATTTTTTAATTACCCAAATCGAGTATCGATTTGGTCGCAATTGTCGGTAGTATTCCACCACGACCGGCTCCTTACAAAAGGCCGAATGATAACAATTGGCATCGATTTATCTTCAGCCCGTCGTTTTTAAGTCAATCAGGCTAATCGGAACTGAATGCGCGTTTAATGAACGATCCCCTGTATGTGTCCCGGCCCCGGCGATAGACCTGGGGGGGGGGGGTGGAGGCGGCGTACAATGATTACGAGGAGAGGAGCTCCGCAATCCACTCATGAACTCGTCTTTATTGTCACCTCCCTGAATCAGAGCAGGGGTAGTGGCCGCTTTATCGACCCCTGACATCAGCGTATATCAGATTGCGTTGCAGTCAAAGCCGACGGAAGCCGCACTTAGCCTCTACATATCCGGATTACTCCCTGTCCATCCGGAGGACGTTTATCGGTTGCTAGTTAAACGAGGCTTCAAGAATTCATTTGCCATCAGGGGCAAATGCAGGAAAATTCATTTTAATGGCATAAAACAGGATATACTGAAAGTAAAGGTGCTCTTTTATAAGAATCCAGGATCCTTTTTTTAGCCAGACTTGCTCAAATGCACCTGGCCTGTCATTCAGTTATTATATAAGATCATTTATACAATGCGTTTCACGAAGTGAATTAGAAATCTCAAAACTGAGCCCAATGTGGATCAGGCCTACTTGTACTTTCCTTTGATTTAAATTTGGACTATCAATAGACATTTTTCATTACGATGCAAGCTTGGATCAAATCCCCTTGAATCGATTTTTTTAAAATTCAAAGCTGTGTAATGGGATCATGTCAAATACTGCTATGATTGCAATGCTTATTTTCGTTTCAAATGTGGTTGGAAACAGGTATGTGCAGTCACAAATAATTTCAATTACGTGTAGATGCATCAGAAGAGACAAGCCTGAATTTTTAATGAAATTACTTTTGACATTTGTAATGTATTACTTTTACTTCCACTCTCAAGTTTCCCCCGAAAAAGTAGAGTTGTTCTGATTATAACCTGCCTGTGAACAAACTCGGTCGTTCCGAGGGTTTGTCTGGTGGCTGTTTCTCCTGGGGTGTGCTCTGTACTTTTAACCCCCCCCCCATCCATTCCCGACGGTAATGCGTTCCTTGTACTAAGCCTCTGACACGCGGGGTCGCTGGACCGTGAAGGGTACCAGTGTTCACTGGGACCCCAAGCCGTCTCACATGAACCCACAATCGTTCCATGAGCCAGCAGAGCAGCTGAACCTGAAAACAAAGGCAGACGCCTCCAACATTTTGGAAGGGTTATTATTATGTTTTTTTTCGGGATTAGTTCATTAAGACTGTTGCCCCGAGCGATTGTCGTCGCACCGAGCCAGAACGCCGCGTCCTCCACTGGCGGGACAGAGTTTGAACTGGTGGGGGGGGGGGGAGTAGAGTTCAACCGTGCATAGAGACTTCCATAAGAACGGGAGAACACTTTCAAATAGCGCCGCATTTGAAAGCCCACTTTCAGAGGCTGTGATGTTTTTCTCCAACGATTCAATGTACAAAAGGGAAAAGCCCACAAATTTATGGGGAAAAAATAATGTACAGCTCTTTTTGTTTTCGTTTTTAAATTGCTTATTGTTTTGTACGGGCTGCCAAAGGTTGCCGAAAGTTCATGCTGGGCCGGCTGGCGACAGCTTTATTTGAAAAAAAAAAATACTCCATTTAAGCTGAACAGGGTTCAGTGCATTTAGAATTAAGTAGCAACCTTTATTTCTACATATATTTTTAGTTGTTTCACTGGCGAGCAATGAAAAGAAATACAACATAACAACTCAATCATTTGCAAGAGAGAAAAGATCAGGCCTACGTTAACTTTATTGCTCATGTCTAACTTTGATTGTCTGCAATACTTACCATTTGTTTGCAATGTTCCCTTTTTCCCCCGAATAAAAAACTGGAAAAAGAAGAGAGAGTAAGAGAAGAAAATTAACAATGGCAGGAGACTGTTTTTTTTAATCCTGCTAAATTCAAAACAGCATTAAAACGAACAGAATTGAGCCAGCCGATGGCAAGGTGTAACAAAGGGACAAGAACCTCTGAAGAGTCATCATGTGTCATAACAAAACTAAATCCTGGTAAAAAAAAAAAAGTACACGTATTGTGTATTCCATTCGGAGTCTTAATATGGCGCCGAGGGATTTTTTAAACACTTTGTGACTTATTCTTTTGTTTTCTTTCCGACGATACTTTTGCCACACACTGATTGGCAAGGAATGATACCACAATTGGCCATTGCAAAAAGATCGTGTTTTCTCTCTTTCTCTGCTGGCTACCGGTGAAACCTTGGAACCTTTATGTACGCCATTAACGCTCAGTCCCCAAACGGTTTGCTTTGAGCTAGCTGTTTCTCCCTACATTATTTCAACGCCCGCGCCGAATCTTGCAACATTGTACTCGCTGACTGATCTCATAATCATTAGTTTGCAAACAGCCAGTTTGTTTTCCCCCAGTCTTTTCACCACCTGGTTTGCATCCTATGATTGTGCCCTGTCCTCTGTTGCAAGTGGGCTGGGTAAAAAGTCACAATGGTTGGCTTTTAATTGTGCTTCTTCAGCGTGGTCGGCCCAAACAATGCGCACCCATGGCGTCTTTTAATATCATTTGATTTCTCCTGATAATTGCGGCAATTTCGATTCACCCGACGAAGATGGATGTTTTTGTGTGCGGGGCGGGGGGGGGGATGCGTGTGGTCCAGTCCGTGGAGTGGGGGAGGGGGCCTACTGTAGTTGCCCAATGCACGCAGACGAATTATGCCCACGGCTTTCTACACAACTCTGACAATACGGCCTGGGACATTCATCACGCCAACCCCTCTCGCATGCACCTGCGCTGTTTCCAGCGAGCGCCCTGTTGCGTAACACATGATACTGTTCGCTACCGCGACCCACTACTCTTGTTGTTTTTGTTTTAATGGCGCTTTCAGCTACTCGGGCTATTTGCGCCAACAACTATTCATAACCTTTATTAATCAGCATTGCATTACGGAGTTAGGGAGAAGGTCCAGTTTGAGAGGCAGGAGGAAACCGGAATACCCGGAGAAAACCTGCGAGAGCGAGAATGGACTGGAAACCACATGCACTTAAAAGCCTGGGCCAAGCCGGGACTTGAACCCATGCCTCATTGGTACAAAGCGAGGAAAGAACCGCTACGCTAACCCGCTCCCCCCTCTTAGATCAGCTTGGCGCTTTCATTCTCGTAGACCGTAGGGAAAAGAAGACAGCCCCAAAGCTGCATGATAAGGGAAATCATTTCCAACCCATCCTAATTCCTGTTTTGCAGTAAAGGTGGACCCCCTCTATTGTGTCTTCTTTTGTGTTGATGGAATCTTTGGAACTCCTTTCAGATTTCGGAGGGGTGCAGTAGGCACAATAGCTTTAGGGTATACAGTTTGTGCATCACATTGGGGGGGGTCCCCGTTACCGCACATCGTGCTTGGTATCGTTTTCCAGGTTAAGTACAAAACACTAGGTATCGTGTTATAGAGAAAAATACAAAAGAAATACAGCGGGTTCCTGTACTCATTGGGATAACAATTAACAGTGACTGTTCGAAGTTTGGGATAAACAGAGTCTGGGACCTATAAAGTTTTATCTAGACCTATAAGTAAATATCATCTACGTTTGCATAATAAGCGTGTAGTTAAAAGTGAAGAAAATGTAATTGAATACCTAATTGAAAGAAGGGCCCAACAAAACCTTCTTTAAGTTCAAAGAACAAATCTGAATATTTTTGAAGAAGTTGAAAAAGAAATCAATTAACTCTTCCAGTCCAAAATGGTGGAGTGGTTGTTGTTTCTTTTAATGAGGTATTCAATCGTGATAGAAACCCTCTGCCCCGGCTTTACTCTGTCATCTATATTTTCTCAGATACACAAGCAACTTGTACAATGAGAGTGTGTGGAATGGTTTCCTCACTGGGGACTTTTTCTCCAAACTGAAAGAAGCTGATTTTTCTCTTCTTTTTTCCTCCCTTCTTAACCCGGCTATCATGGGAAAGAATGTCCAATAGCTGAGAAAAAACGGACACAGAGCAGGGCACGAGACTAAAGACGCACAGCCGGAGGCGATCAGGGCACGTGCTGGCTCGTGCGCGGCGCGTGCGGGCTTCTGCCGCGTGCAGCTCGCGTGCGGGCCGCCCCAACAACTGCCCCCCCCCCTCGCCGTCGATAAAGCGCACAGACACTGCGGAGCAAGCGGGGTCGACGCTGATGCGATTCGTGCCAATAGGTCAAAAGCATTAATGTTTATACAGAGCTCCCTGTTGTCTGCACAATGGTTTAGTAGCTGCCGTAATGCAACAGTCTGCGGCCAGAGCGCATGAAAGCGATTATGAATCGAAAAGGGCCGGCAGAGCATAATACATCCGATACGGTACATGTGCGTATAATCAAGGGCATTGAAAGTAGAATTTAAAGGGTGCGCTTGCTTCTTAAGCTTTGAAACCCACAGGGCCAAGGGGGGAGGGGTAGTCAGGCTTCAGGATTAAATTTACAAAGAGCCGTTTCTGTCGTTTGAATCTGCACAGGCGTGTACTTATGCAACAGGTCTTGCCGGAGTCCTCACGGGGAGATCGTCACCATCCGACCTGCCACGTCCGACCGTGCCCGCCGCAAGCAGGCCGACAAGAAATGTCCCCGGCCCGGTTGCGAGGGGAGACTCTACCATGTGGCCTGCGCTGGAAAGAACGGTTACCCAGTCACTCACTTCTGGCGAGTGACAGGTGAGGGAACTACTTGCACCCCCCCCACACACACGGTTATTTCATGCCCGATTGTATTCTCATTGTAATTAACACAGCACAGCCGATAAGGGCGACTTACATGGGCCCAATGTGGACAACTTTATCATGGATTAACAGGGACTGGCTTTGAGCACCTCAAAGAAACAAGCAGATGGTTGTTTACCCAAACTATTACTGTCTACAAAAGCTGTGTACGATTTATGTTTTATTTTTTCCCCTTTGTTTCCACCCCCCCTTAAAAAAAGACCAGCCGTTGTAGAGAGTACTTGCTTTCCCCGTCTACAAAACTCTGAGAAAGAATTACCATGGTATGAACCTAACGGGCTCAAACGAAAGGCCCTTGAGTAAGAATTGAATTCATAAACTTAACGCATATTGCTAGGGTTTGACTTCTCTGTAAATGTGAATTATGTGAAAAAATTTATAGAGAAACCATGTCTGATATTGGCCTCCTTGTTAAAAACCCCGATGGAGATAGTCGGCAGGGCTACATCTTAATTTTGGACACTTCCGGTTTTTTCTGCGCAGAATCCGTGATCATTTTCCAGTCCAAGGGTCGCCACGATCACCCACGCCCAGACGTGGTCAAGACACCCTCTGTCGCCAAGTTGGCCTTGTTCGAGTACCACCGGGCGCACAAGCACGAACGACCGAAGGACATCTGTAAACGGATGGTAAGTCGACTTGACATGTTCCAAAGAGAGACAGAGCTTTTGGTTTAGAGCATACTTTTTTTATCCAGCAGGCAGCTATTTTGTAGATGGTTTAAAAGTATCACATTTTCGTCATAATGAAACTCTGGAAAGGAACTTCGTGGTCAGCGCTTTCTTGTCTTTGCTTGAGAAGTGGGCCCTACAGTCGAAACAATCCATTATCGCATCATTACAATCATCACTCATGTAAGCAGAAAAAAAGTTATCTTCAGCGTAGTTTCGGAGTACAGCCGGCAGGTTTCAAGGAAGTTGACTTTCGGTGTGCAGACTGACAAAATGCTACCTTAAACCATGCTACCCCCTCTCCCTGCACTTAAACATAATTTACTCTATCGGCGAGATTTCTTGTCATTGAAGATTCTTCTCTGCCGTTCGTTAGTTTTATTAATTGAGAAGCAAAATCATTCACGGGTTCATTCCGACAGGGTGTGCACATCCACAAGTCCTTCAGCCGGGTGGACCGCGTCGCTCGCCAGCTGAGGGAGGTGCAGACGGTCCTGGCCAAGAACGACAAGGGCGTCGACAAGAAAGAGGAGAAGGAGACACCCAGCCACGGCTACTCCCTGCGGAGCCCGCTGACCCGGATGTGGGCTTCGCACCACCACCACCACCACCATCACCACCAGAAACTCGGCCCCAGTGACCCCCAGCAACAAGTTAGGCCAGGTGAGACACAACCACCTGCCACCTGTCCCCTGTTCTGCGGCTGCGGGGATCGTGATAGTTATGGAGACCAAGGCAGTCACTGCGAGCCCCCCCCACGTCTTTGAGACAACCGGTGTCCATAAAAGTCTCGTCCAACTACCGTCATTTGCAAAAGTTTAGGGCCACTCATAGAAAATGCATTTACCTGAAGAAAAACCAACATGAACCAATTCATCATAGCAACTTAATGTCTACTTTCAATGTGTAACCTTAATGTCTTGGTTGAACAGCTATATATTTGACTATACATTTCCACGATTTGAAATGTTAACAGTCTAACAGTTAGTGTTGCCCCCACCGTTTCTGGTGACTTAAACTGGCTTTTTACCCAAGCTGCATTACAGACAAAATGTCATATACAAAATCTGCCTTTGCAGAAAAAAATTCATTCAAATGGGCTCGCAGCACTATCTCGATGTTATGGACCACAGTGAAAAGATGTTATGTAATCATTCAATGAGACAATGTAACGCAGGCCAAGCAACAACAGAAATACCAACAAAATTCCAGGTGGTCTTAAAACTTTTGCAAATGACTGTATCTCTAGCAAAAAAATAATCGTTTCTACAACGCGCTGCTAGCCAGGACAAAAAATGGGCAAACACTTGGTGACATCAGGGACGCTGCTAATAAGATTCTATTTAAGCACTTACTACTCTCAGTTGGCACAAGGCTTAGCTACACAACTGATTTGTGTTTGCTTGTGGTGAAGCGCTTGCATTGAAGCGCGGGTTTGTTTGTGTTAAATATTATAAAGCAATTATTTAGGTTAAGGAACTGATTATTTTGCTCTTGCAGGTTTGACTATACCAGCTGGTGGCATGAGGCATAACTCTCTTGGCTCGAGTTACCAGGATCAACCCCAGTACGAGTCATGGGCAGGCAACTACTTCCCTCAACAACACGGGTTACAAAGCGACTACCAACACGGCTACCTGGCGGGCTACACGCCGACTCAGCTGCCCTCCGACTACTACCACCACACCGGCATGTACGCCGGATACCAGGTCGCCTCCTCGGCCGGGAGCATCGTGTACGACTCGGCCATGGAGCTGGAGAGCTACGGCACCCCGCTGCCGCCCAAGGCAGACCCCTTGCCGGAGGGAGGCCGGATGACGGAGCTCACGGTCATGAAGGAATCCCCCAAACAGCCAATGGCCTCACTTAACGGCACACCGACACTCGCCACCGTCAAGTCGGACTCTTCCATGGCCCACACCGGTGACGGGAACCTGGATCTCGCTAGCTTGCCGTTGAGCCATTCCAGCGGTTCCCTGCTGTCCCCTTCTGGTCATGGCCCCCTCAAACGCAGCCTTCCTCCCGCTCTCACCCACATCGAGGCCAAGCAACCGAAGTTGGAGCAGTCGGGAAGCCTCGAATCTCGCAACCCGATCAAACTTACCGAGCAGACGCCAGGCATCAACATCGACATGTCGTCCTTTTCCGACATCTTCGACATCAGCGCCTCTCTGGGCGAGGAGGGACTGGCCGGCCGGCCCAAGACGCCCGTGTTCCACGCCCCATCGCCCCCAGTTTACGAGAGTCCCCAGAAGCCAACAGGGGCAGCCATGAGCAGCGACAGCACCCCCCTGTCGCCGTCAAGCTCACAGGGCGAAGCGACGGCGAGGTCTCAGACCCCCGTCTCCGTCAGTGTGGCCAGCTCACCCCGCACCAGCCATGACTACAGCAACGACGCTGAACCCCCCCTTGCCAGCCCCTCGGGCTTCAAGTACCGTCAGCTGATCCACCACTCGCCGAGCGGGCCCGTCCTAACCGAGCTCAGCACCCACCCTCACCAAGCCCCGTCCAATCCCGCGGAGGACGAGAACGGCACTTACATCGACTTCCTTGTGTCCATGTACCTGAAGGACAGCGAGAAGCCCATCTCGACGCTCAAGAACGAGCTGCACGTCTACACCGAGCGAAACAACCAGAAATCGCTGGCTTTCCGTGCCGAGCAGGGCTTGCAGTTCACCCCGCACCTCAAGTCGCCCACCTCCTCGCAGTTTGACTTCAGTTGGTACGACATGGACCGTCGCAGTCAGCACTTTCGCGCCGCTTCCTCGACGCAGACCAGCCTAATCAGCCCCCTCAACATCGCTGGACAATTCGACTTCACCTCGCCATTTATTAAGGATCAATCACCAGACACAAGTCGGGTTTTATTCATGCGAAACCCGCCCACCAATACAGTGTCGTTGAACCGACACGTTTACTAGAACTGTCGTCGACGAAGTGGGTGTGACTGTATTGATATTAAACTCGGCATTTCTCTCAGTGGAGTCTAACCGCACCACTAAATTTCGTAATTTCAAACTTTAGCTAAACTAGATTTTCTCGCACTGTGTAATATTGAAAGCTTACATATGATTATGATTTCACTTTAAAAAAAATAAATTATTATGTTAATTCTTTGCGTACAGGTTGAATTTTCGAAAATCAGCTGAGATGAAATTATTCCATCGTTTTACAAAGAGATTTGTGCAGCTACAAATGTACATAGAAAGTGGTATAGCGTTCATATTTACGGTAAACTATTTATTGCTTAATATGAATATTTATTTCGTCGTGAATAAAAGTTTCACACCAAATGTGCGCATCGCGCAGACCCTGTTAGTAAGCTTCAGACACAAAAAAAATAGTTGTATGTATTCTATCAAAAGGGACTCATTTGCATATGAATGCTTCACGCGGCGACTTTGTTATCCAACGAAAGTGTGCGGCCACACTGCGTGTTCTTTGTGAAGGCTTGACTATCGTTGAGTCGTGTGGAGTGAGTCGTAAAATAAATATGCGGGCATGATTTCGCTCATGTTGAATGGATTTTTTCCCTTTTTTTGAGTAAAATACGATCGACGTTATAACAACACCACGGGACATGCCAGCCCCATTAACTCAAGCAACTCTAGTTTGAAGGAAAGCGTATTTCGGGGTTTACTTTTGTTTTCGTTGAGTTTTGGTTGAGTCTTAAGACACTTATGGACATCACTTGATAAAAATTGATGAATCACAGGACGCGAAGTATAACGCAATAGTATGGAAATTAAGTTAATTTGTTTATATTTAAATCTTCTACCATGTGTGAGCACGCATTTTTAAAGTGTTTATACCTGTATAAATGTATACTATTTACTGAAGATACGAAAAAAAGTAGAAATCTTTGGAACAGGCCCAAATGGTATTGAAATTATAACCATGTTCTGTGGAACGAGGCCGAGTCATTTTGGAAAAAAAACCAGTAATAATCCGAGATATTTTAAGAAAGGGACAGACTAATGTTACAGCAGCAGCAGATGTGGCAGCCGCTCACAACGCCCCCAGCATGGCCGACAAAAGACCCCTTTTTTGCTCGTACGGCAACCGTCGGAATAGAAGGCCTTTTCAACTTACCTACCCGCATCTTAGCCTCCTGCGTTTTGTTTCACGCCCCGTACAAGTTAGATTTCGTCAAGGAATACAAATCAGATGGGTGAAGAATTCGGGGGAGGGGGAATGTACATTTATTCTGCCATCTTTTACAAAATTATTTTGCTCAGAAAAAAATCGTATAGCATTTTTCTTCAATGGTTCAAATTTAAAGTATATCTATGTTTTATTCGGGGTGGGTGGGTAGGGGATGAAGAATAACGGTTATTGTAGCGTCTGCACATAGTGGCCGTGAAAACTTGGGCATTATGACTGAACACAGCATTAATGTTGTTCATCTCTTTCTAGCCATATTTTTAAAATGAAAAAAAAATGAAGTACTTGTATTTATCTTGACAGTTTTCTTATCAATAAATTTAGGTAGGCAATTTTTTTTTCTTTTTTTTTCTGTTGTCGTTGTGCAATAGGATCTATCGGTTGCATAGATTCGAAGTGGAAAATCTGTGGCGTGTTTGAGTCATCGATGTCACATTCGCTCGTAGTGGGGGACGCGTTTTTCACAAGTTGCCCCAGGAAAAGTTTACGGAGCGTGAGGAACGACATCAGGAGGTTGGGTTGGGGCAAAGGTAACATTCTGGTAACGGTCAATGTGACATGTATAGTGGACCCGGCCACATATACCTTGAACAAGGCCTCTGTATAGGGTCTAAAACTTTTGATTATTGTTTTTTGCTTTCAAGGTATTATGCTTTAGAAATGGTCATTCGTGACTCTTTTTTTTTGAGCGCAGTGCCTTATAATAAATAGAAAACCAAGGCAGATATGGTTAACAGTTTTTCTGCTTTTAGCGTTACTACCTGCTTCATTCCCCACCCCCATTGTCTTTTGTTTGTTATTTGCCGTTTTGCTTATTTGAGGTTTGGGGTTTGGGTGCGTGGGTGGAGGTGTGTGTGGCGGGCGTATAAGCGATCAATTTTTCAGCATGTCTTCAAGAGATCAAATGTAAAATTGACGTTGTTATATAAGATTACAACATTGAACAGCTGCGGTTCGCGGGAAAAGTACCAGACGAATGATCGTATATTCTGCACCACGGGGTGAGTTTCGAAATCTGCGCTGTTTGGCAGGCATTTCGGGGTGAAACTGATTCTTGGAAAGGTCATGTCCTAAAACCAGGATAAGGAAGGTAATAAATATCATTACGGGGGTTGATTTACTTGCGTCGTTGAGTGTACAGATTGATTGCAATCTAAACTGCCACAGATGCACAATTGCATTTAACCGGCAGACGTCTGATAAAAAAAGCCTGTCGGGTTTTCTGGAGGCTTTTTCAAAGAGAGGGGTAGTTTGTTGTTGTTTCTGCGCTGTAGATTGGGAACGAGGGGCCCAAACTGCGAGAGAAATGGAGAGGAGAGAGCCGCTCAAGTTTATACCTCAGACGATTAGGTTGCTGCCGTCAAGGGTGTGAGTTTAGTGTGCTTTGGTGGGTATTATGGGATGGAAAACCTGTTTTTCTTAGAGAGCGTAGGCATTTCGTGAATTTTGTGCACGAGTGGTTTTTCAGCAATGGAAGAGTTTTGGAGTTCCCAGAGAACGCAAAGAACTCTAATTGTAACAAGAAGAAGGGGAGGGGGCTTATTTTTTTCAAACATGGACACTTTAAACAAGTCTTGATGTTGCGTTACTAGCAGAGCCATTCAACATAATGACCATCGCCGAAACAAATCCTTCATGTTGGATTAGGGCAATTCGGGTTCTGAATGGTTTTCTTGAAAACACCATGTTGAATTGTTCTACCAAACAGCAGACCAATTTATCATACTTTGTGATACCATAACACACACCTTAACTTGTTTCTTTCGTGAAATGGTGTCCCGGGAAATCGCAAAGCCCGAAGTCTGTCGAATCCAATAGGCCAAGCCCTCGAAACAACCCTGGACAGCCATCAACGCGCCGGGCTGGTCCTTTGAAAACAACGTGACCCTAGATCTGAAACTGGCCACAATTTATTCCTACATCGTCTCATTATCATTCTTTGCGCTATTGTTATGAAAATATAAATATGTATTCTTGATGTTTTTCAACAAATGGAAGTCCTAAATATTGTTCAACATAGTCATCTCGCAAGAGGTACTAACTTTCGTCACAAAAGAAAAAAAGATGCATACATTTAATACATCATTGTATGAACTCGGTACTTCTTTTTTGTTCTGAAATACAGACGCCGCGTATTGTGAATGTGAACTATCATATTTCGATCCCTGATTATGGAATTATGCAAATCTCCCACAAAAGAGGATGGAGATCGTACGGGGTAAGCCATTTTCGAGCCATTAACGAAAAAACGGGACACGCTCCATAGAACCCTATGCCCGCATATTACCAAAATACGTAGAAAGATACGGGTAGGAAGGGCTTTCCCGTCGTATTCAGTGCGATATCGACGAGCGTTGTCGATGTTTTTTTTTCGGTTTTGTTTTTGTTTTAAATACTTTTATTCATGGCTTTTCCAAAAGACAGCGGTTGTAATTTTTTTTGCTGGTACGGTCGCGGGTTTCTGCGCGAGCCAAAGTGCTATAAGCGACTTTATGGTACTTTTTGGGGTTGTTTTCTGTCAAAACGAAGTTGAGAAACTTTGTGCGTCCACGTTGGATTTTACCGTGGCCTCGTGGATCTTTTTGTGTAAACGCGTCCATTGTCACGAGCCACGGATGGCTTGAACAGGTACACAGTGGGAAAACAGCGGCGGATTTTTTCCCACCGCTTCCGGAGAAAATAGACTTTTAAATTCAAATCAGATAAGTTTGAATAAAAAAATCAAAAAGAAAAAACTAACTCACTAAAAGTTGTTTTCGTCTGTGTAAGAGCTTTTAAAAATACTTTTACAACTCATAGGCTTAGCGGGATCCAGGATGGAGGCCTACGTGTCTCCAACATCCAACGGTTTTTAGCACCAAGATATTGGAATATGGCTTCTGCAAGAACATCGATTTAAACCTTAGCTTTTCTCTGTGGAGTTCATCTTCCACCATAGATAACATTGCTTGAAAGAATGGCCACCTTTATATGCTTATTAAACTGATGACCACTTTATTTTTTTTTCAATTAACCGTCAAATAATTCAGACGCATACAGGTGAACAAAATGAATACATGTAAATCGTTTTGACATAATAATAATATCTTTTGGGGGCATTAATTTAAAAAATTGGGGGAAATAAAAAATCCTGTTTTCGAAGCTGATCACAGACGGAAGAGCTTGTGTTGTTGGCGTCCCCCCCAAAAAAGAGAATAAAGATTTATTGATATAAATTACCATATCTAGGATTGTAGTGATTTATTTATTGATTGGTGGGTGTGGATGAAAAGATGGAATGGTATCAGTTCTGACTTGTCTCCCGTGGGCGGTGGTTTGTAAACTCCAAGGGCCTCACTCACTCTGCAAATACGGCCCGCGTATTCTCTTCCCGCCAAGGTATAAAGCGAACGTTTTACCGGCATTGTAACTTGACTTCAACACCCACACGTCCACTGAAGCAAAGGTCGAGTTGGCCGACTCAACGCTTTGTTTGCTGAAAGTGCTCATGGGGCCTTCACGCGTACGCCAACTGTTTTTTTTTTTTTTTTTTTTTTACCGAAGTCCTTATTACGCCATCAACCGGTGGCACAAGTGTCTGACTCTTAACTGCCACCAAACTTCCATTTTCTTCACGTGTCCATGACACGACACACCCATTCATTGTCTTCTTGAAGTGTATTGACACAAACAACACGTACATTACTCACGCGCTCAATAGTGCGTGCTTTTAAGTTGGTTTAGGATACACCAGAGGGCGCTGTTTATAGCTACGGGTCACAGCTGTTCGCGGAGAGAGTTGCGACGTGAGCATCACCCGTCGTCGGAAATGGAAACAAACTGGCAGGTGCATGACAGCTGGTTTACATATGCAGAACCCACACGCTTGACTGTACTCAAAATGAACAGCCATTTTGTTTCCAAAATCTGGAGCTGGCGCCGCTATCGTCTCTAGCGCGGAGGAATACTGGACCTCCAGCCTGAATCAAAATTAACAGGACCGCCCAGCACAAAGCACATGCCGTGTGTTCAAACTTATGTCGCAATCGTTTGATCAGCAATGGCAGTATAGCAATACGAAAGTTTGTGTTATCCTTTTGTCTGTTTGCTCACACATTTTTATTTTTAAAGTAGACATCCGTGCATAGGTATTCATAACGGAACGACATTGCCCCAGATAGGCCCACATCTTGTTCCTCCTGACTTATCTTTAGCACCAGGAGACATCAACCCTTAATGAGCCAGGATGTGGAGTATTGTACAAAGGGGTGTGACCCTCTCCAAAAGAGCTTGGCCGCGCAGTAAGGGATTCGACAATATTTGACATGCATACGTGAAGTCACTTGGGCGTACCCTGTTTATCATGTTACGCGAGAACTGCAGGACGAAATCCAAACGAGCTGACCCAACCCTGTTTTTAAAGGGGTTTCAACGTGGGCCTTTAAACAGCTCATTGGAGAGTTTTGTCCTCGTTTCAGATTTTCGAGGAGGAAATTTTGATTGTTATGTCGCGCTTGAGTTTTATCAGTACCCAACACGCTGATTTCCTCCTGACAACGACAGAGGGCGGCAGGCCGCAACAGCTGGTCAGGAACACAAACGCGATCGCCAGTGCAGCTGACCTGTGTCTTGTCATCGTGAATTCATCTGCAGCCTGGAGCAGTGGCGTGCATTTATTTGGGGAATTTTTCGAGACAGCGTTTTTGGTTGGGGGCAAGTACGGTAGCATCTGAAATTAGGTGCTAATGGAGATACCACACTGCAGGGGGTTTCGAAGACAAGCAAAGCCAAGCGACGCTTAAAATAAATATTTTTTTTAATGGAAACAGAACCAACTCAACCATGTTTGTGGAGCATTTTTAGGAGAGATTGAGCGACCTTCGTCTGGGCACAAAAACGGTGCTCGTACATGTAGCTAGACACAATATTTTGGAGTTCCGGTTCTGAGAATGAACGTCTTTGTCGCACAATTAGTTCATCCCTGAGGAAATCTGCATGGGCGTCGTCTGGATTTGGGAGGAGGAGAGGGGGTCACCCTTGCGGCGTCCCAATAAATCTAACCTGGAGTTCTCGGCTCGGTAATTTCTTAACGAGCAGGTGGGTAAGGAACGGGGGATGTGGGCACTTTGGTGTAATGTTGTATACGGTTATTATCCCAACAAACCCGAGATGGAAGGAAGGGTCCCAAACAAGAATGTTTTCAAGCCGGTAGAGCAAAAACGAAGACGTGGAGAGTGTAACACACTATGAGTATCTTGTGGCTTAAAATTAATGACGAACATTTAAACTGAAACAGAAATAAGCACAATTTTGCCGTAAAGCTAATCAAAGACAGTACTTCTCACGCAAACTCAAATCTTTTCAGGTTGACTGGGATTACTTGTTCTATGAGATTGTTATCCAGTCAATTATTACATTTTCCATCATTGTTTGGTGTAACTGTGTGACAAATGGTAATTTGAAAAAAAATAAAGAGGATACCCAGAACTGCCAGTAAAGTTTGATTGGTAGTGACGTGAGAGAGGTAAATGACGTTTACGAAAAGGCTCTGTTAGCCGAATTTGACATGATTTGTGCTGATCAGTCGTATCCTTTTCTGAGATTCTCTACAGCAGGTCTTGGAGGATTGTGGTACCTCAATACACGTATCAATCGCTTGGCATTTTCCTTTCTACCACGTGCAATCCGTGCCTTTAATAACAACTTCAAACGACAGGGATCTCAAATTCACTAATATTTGGAGGTCTTTATCAATTAGAACACTTTGTATTGAGCTGAGCCTCACTCAGGTCTGCATGCATGCATTTTTTTTGTAATTTGTAATTGTTATAACTTATATCTCAATGCTGTCCCTTTAAGAATATCTATATATTGATTTTATTATATGTAATGATTATGAAATGACTGCAGCTGGAGAGAAGAATTTCACGTTTTAAATGGGATGAATAAAAACAACGATGAATGATGATATCCCAACGAGCATGCATGACATTGATCAGTAGAGTGAACTATGCAGTGGGGATCCGGAGCACATGCATAATGAACTTGTGCTAGACTGGATGCTACTCAGCCAGAACACTACAAAAACCAGGGTGTCAAATTTAACACCCCTAGTGTTCTTAAAGGAGCACACCAACACTTTTCAGGGGTGTGAAGATTTTTGGTGTTATTCCAACACTGTTATTTTTACTTTTAACACTCTCCAGTGCCTTGTAACGCTTATAGGTGTGTCACACTTGTGTAACACTTGTGTTGGTCTAATCATCTGATAACACCAAAGGTTTTGCAGTGAACGGTTGTGCATTGTTTGATCGGAGCTGTGCACACTCAGACCTCGGAGTATCGATCATTTTGCGAACCGTTGTAAATACTCTAATTCCCCAGAGTTGTAATGTGTTGTGTGCGGGCACGGCAGTGAACACGGCAGCGAAGTAAGAAGTAAGGACGGTTAAGCATTTCCCAAATTTCCGCCAGGACCACGAAGTAAATTAATTTAAAGTAAAATGCGTGCATGGTTCATGAATTCATTGAAGTGTTCACGTAGTTTTGACAAGAAATGTAGCAGCCCGCGCTTTGATGCAAACAAATATACATCACATTATGAAACCGAATGAACAGAGCAAACGCTCTGTTCTACTTTTAAAGCAAATTAATTGGGGTCGAATCTTCTCGATCTGGGCACTGATCCAGTTTTGGATTACCGAATAGGAATCTGGAACACAAAGCCTCGAGGGCAGTCTGAATGTTGGCGCAGAATATCCAATTTCCACTCGTAGAGGACACCAAAAAGGCCATGTTCAAGCGTTTTGGAAAGGGTGCCAGTACAGGGCAACAAGTGTAGCAGCTGATCGGGCGCACCCGGAGTTTGCCATGTTTTTAGTCTTAATTCATTTAAAACTCCAAGCTCCTGTAAGTTCCACAACGGCCTGCACCAGACAGCTTCCTGTGAGTGATCATGTGCTAACGGGAGCACGCCGGAGACGCGACTTCCGGTACGTGACTCCAACTGGAAATCACCCCAGTCCCCCAAACCCGGATGCAACCAATAACCGCTCCCGTGGCACCGTGTGAACCTCGTCCACCCCCCCCCTCATCCACAATCGAGTTCATAAATATGGTTTGGGCAGTGATACGCCAGTACGGGGTATAAAACGCTTTCAAATTATGGTCCACGTGCATGCTCCGTTGACTTTATTCAGACAGCATTCGTGGTTTGGCAGTGTCCCCACAAGACACTGAACAGTTTCGCATCACATGGATCAAAATACTGCATTAACACTGTGTGCTAAAAAGACGGCCTTTGCCGTTTATAAATTATAGCATCGGGTTCAATCTGAGGTTAGCCTCGAGTTAATTTTTCCAATTTTGTTCGGGGCGATCAACGATTGAAATGCAATCAAGCCTACAAGTCTCCACAAATTTCCTTTAAAAGCAAATTTGAACCCGCACAAACCATGAATATCCAAGAAACAGACATTGGCTAAGTCTGTGATATGCATGTAGAATCTGTGATTCTTGCCGTTATGCAAGACCTGCATAGTGTGACCAATCAGCGAGCACCTAGACCTATAATGGACAGCCAGCTGACAACTATCGACCAATCAGCAGCTTAGGTGGAAAGAAGTTGGTTGAAAGTGTGGCTCTGTTTCTGGTTAGTGCATGATATTTAGTTAACGCAAGTGCCAAAATATTCCTCGAGGTAAGGATGGTAATTTGGGCGCCATGCCCACCAATTTTTTTTTCGCAAAGAAAGGAATTCGACACTAGACTACACCTAGACATTAGTGAGCGCTGCCGTCCATAGACAGCGTTCTGAACATAGCATTAGTCGAGAAGACAAATTTCGATCACATACAGATCTGAAGCTAAAACTATCAACACGACAACATTTCAGCAATATGGCACCGAAGAGACATTGGAAAGTGAAGTTACTGAAGGGGAACGTGACCGAGAAACGGAACGTAAGGTTTTGAACGTAACAATCTATTGACCACCTGCTTCGCTTATGGTGCAGTAAATATCCGTCATCCGCTCGCAGCGTGGAAATCAGCATCTACCACGCCCACGAGAGGAAATTATTTGTTGTTTCTTTTAAAGTTGCCATGGAGCGCCAAGGCCACAAGCGGCAAGCCTCCGCGCCAAGGCTATTGGTCCTCCTATTGCAAGCGTAGCCCCCGTTACGATGTTCTGCGCAACGTGTGCGCGGGGGGGTTCCCGAACAAAAGGGCTTCTGTTAAGCGCAGCGCGACTTCTCATCGGCTTGCTGACTGTGATTTCTTTCTGTTCGTCGCTTACAACCAGCAAAGGAAAAGAAATATCACTCTATTTGGCCGTGTGGTGGATCCCTCCCGCGTTGTCTCTTTTGCGTGAAAAATGAATGAATCACACGTGGCATAAACGGACTTGACTCATCCGAAGCATTCAAGGAAATATTTATTTCATCACACGAAAAGTGGAACTTGAAGCTTCCTTTCCAAAACCAGAAGCTCGAAACTAAATCAATCTTGCCTGGAATCGCTCAACTGGAATTCGACTGTCTGTTCGAAAACCATTTCCTTGTCAGTGTTCGTTTACGCTTTAATTCATCCTGAGAGTTACCTTTTGGCGGCAATTGTAACTCTTTTCGGCAAATGTGCGGAAAGGAATAATTTTTGCTTAAAAGTGCAATTTAGTTCAGGGTCATTGAATATCTGGCCACCGTTAGTCTGATCTTGCACAATACAGACTTCACTTTTCGAGCTCAACATTTAACTGTGTTTGAAGCGAGCGGCGTGCTTTCGATTGTTGGTTACTTTGTTCCTTTTCTAGTGAAGTAAAGGCCTGCACGTACCTGCCTCAGGCAGGGCAGAGTCACTGCCGCTGAAGTACCTGACGCCGAGGAGATGCCTAACCACATTTTGTTTTTCATAGCATTCCTTTGAAATATGGTCAGGCCATGGCCACGCTTCAGTTGCTTAGTAACAAAAAGTTGGTCGCGGTTTGTTGGCACGCATGCGCGTGGTCCACTCGGCAGTCGTGAGCACAGAACTGACTGAGTAATCACATTTCCGCAAGGGTTTGACACGCCTTCCAATTGGACAGACGAATAAAATGAGAGGTTTCCTAGCTGAAAAAAAATTTGATTGATGTTAAACAGTAAAATAATCTACAAGTATGTACAGACGCACGTGTGTATATATAATCAACTATACTTGCTCAGAGAATCACTGACATACATGACTAGACCTCTGTAATTTTATCTGAAAGTAAAAACGTTGTAAAATAATAATTGGTGAAGCCATGCAAGTGTAACGTAGAATTTTATTACCAGGGCCGTGCCGGTTAGTGGGTCTGGGATGACGAATTTAGAGGACGGTTTTGTTCCCTTTGATTTACGTAGTTCGAGCAGGGGATGGGAGCGCGTGGGTGAACGACATGGCATGGTTTAATAGAGAGTACGCCAACCGCAGCGTGCAACGTTCGTCAAATAGCTCCGTGGCTCAAGCAAGCTTGCCGAAACTGTTCGACGAAGATTTTGTTCGGTCATTTTTGTTTTGGGTTTTTTTGGGTTTTTTTTGTAAATTCTTAGCGACTGCAGCAATTCTCTTGTCAAACATACAAACCGGACAATCTACAAGCGCAAAATTGGGGCAAATTGAGCTGGGCATTTGTGTGTGTGGAGACTCTTAGAAGAACAATTTTGTGGTTAAGGTAAAAAGGCGAATGCTGCAGGACACCATGGAATTACTCTGGCGAGTCTGCGTAACGTGGATAATGTCGCTGCTTTTCGTCCACTCGGCATTCTCAACAAGTAAGGGTGAGTTCAACATTTTTCTTGCGACATCTTCAAGTTCGCGGCACGGTCACTCGCGTTCCACCTCCAAGTTAACCATTTCGACGCGCGCAAAATAGGTTGTAAATGCAATGCTGCACATCAAAAGAAAATCATCGCGATTTTGTACTGCTATACTTACCCGGTCCAGGCACCATTAACCTTTTTGTTGTTTAATTAAGCAGTTAAAATCTCACAATCCCAATGGTTGACAGACTGATGAGCCTTACTCGACATAAAACTGAAAGCCTGTGCCAGTCACCACATGGTCCTGCCAACAGGTGCCCGATGTGCTGTTACTTTTTACAGCAGCCGTAGCGTATAGGAGTAAAGAGGGAAGGGGGTAATGACCCAAGCGCCCATGAACTACACGGTGTTACACGTTGGGTGCCTTGCAGGACAACCCACTCACGGATATTCATACCGCTTTCCATTTTTGCATGGGGCCTTTTCCATGTGTGGATAGTGTGTGCTCGGTCGCAATGGGCCAAGATAATAGGTGCACAGACGTAACCTCTAATTTTAGGTTGCTAAGTGGTTTCGGGCTGCATGCCTGCGGATCATGCGCTTCTCTCTGTTCCCTGACAATTAGGTGAGCTCATAAAGGCGTAGGGTAATGGGAGAGCTACAAGCATGTCATCTCAATTGCCCATGCCAAAGTTGGAGGAATAACTGTTGGAGTACTTTGAGAAGGTGAATTCCGTAAGATTACCCAAAAAAATGACAGCTAAATTGAAGTCTTTGCTTTGAGGTTAGGGGAGAGGCTACAATGTATACCCAGCAAGAAATGAGACCGAGGGGTACCCTCCGAACATGTCCAATCCCTATACACATTCCAGACTTTTGTTACTTAACACATCCCCCAAGATGTCTGAAAGGAATTCCCCTGATTCCTGCGAAACAATGACCAACACAAAGCAGGGGGGGGGGTTCTCTCCGTCTCATACCTTGTTGCATATGTTACAATGGGCATGGGCGCGCGCTGATAGTAAAAAAGGTGTTTGGTGATATCAAAGTGCTAAAAACGCAACATGCATCAATCATTCTTGCAAGTCCAAAGGCACGAGCTCTTTAAGGCAAAACAGTGTGTCCGACACGTGTCCTTGATACGATGACATTTAAGCAAGGGGGGTAAAGTTTCCTTTACCCCGTCGTTCGGCTCGATCTCGAAACCGACCGCGAAAATCTTGAGCAACTGCGAAATGTAGGACAGGTTGAAAAAAGGTTGGAAGCCAGGAGAGGACCCTGATCGCTGGAATTCGTCCAACATGCAGTGTTTTTAGCTTCTTGCCAAAAGAGCAGAAGGAAACAGAGTTCAAGAAAAGGCACTCTAAATATAGGTCAAACAGCGACGCTGTCCGTTGGGTAAACATGAACAGTTCACCCACAAATCCTTACCACACGAACAGTTCTGATTGGTACGCTGAGAGCCTGTAGAATGAGCTTAGAAGGCATATGAAATTTAAGTGCTTCTGATGTCTCCAAGCAAGACACTTTGTCATGTTACTGGCAATGAGAGAGAACCCGCAGACTAAGATTGGTGGCGGTAATCTCACATGGCGAGCTTTTACGAGAATACACAGCGACTTTTTTTGTTCTGGCATTTTCCTTGTCATTTGAAATGCTTTGTCGCCAAAACGACGTCTTTACATTATTAGATAGTTTCATTTGTTGGTCAGGGTCGATTTTTCGTTTTGTGTGCTTCGTTGTTGATTCAGTGCATGGACGCATATTACAGAACAATCAAAACTGAACAAACTGTAAAACGAGACCCGAAATGGTCAGCTTTTCAAGTTTATTTCAAGCCATTTCGAGATTCGTACAAAATATACTCCAGTCTTAAATTCATGTGATGGTCTCTTTTAGTTATTGTTAAAACTTTGTTTTAACGTCTTCATGTCCAAGCGATGCAAGCAGGGGGCCAAGGAACCGGTAGATTTATACTGATGATACGCTGGGAGGGGCACCAACCGTATGTAATTGATACGGAGCGTTAACATGATTAATGTGGAATTAGAGACAGACTGTTTGGCGGAAGAAGGCGATCACTTCGAATGAAAGAGATGTCTGTGCAGCTCCGCTGAGGACCTAAGTCGACGGCTGGGTTGGCCCTGTATCTCGGCCCATCATCCGCCGAGGTGCGGCGCGGCCATAGGGTAGGGAGACGCGGCAGACGGACTCCCCGGGAACGTTGTGCCCGGAAGAATATAAGAGATAAGACATGACTGTCGGACTGACACCCAGGGGCTGATGCCACGTGGTAATGAGATGGAAGCATTCGATTACGCACTCCGGTAGTGAATCATAGTGTGAACATGACAGTCACGGAGACATCCAGGGGTTCTCCCCAAGCGAGGTGCATCCAAGGGACGCGCTAGAGAACGTTCAAGTACATCTGAACTCATGGCACGGTTTTGAAGGATTGTCAACGAGCGTCATAATTCTCACTGGAAAAAAAATCCATGAAATGTTCTGACGTGCCGTCGCTCAGAACAGAACATTAATATGCTGTACGGAATTTCGAACCGGGCGTCAAGCGTCTTTCATTAATTAGAAATTCGCCGGAAACTCGGGACATAATTCAGTCTGGGGTCAGTGCCAAAGAGACGGGCTTCGACGATTTGAAGTAAACTGTGGTAGGTTACAGTATGTCAACGCAGTACTTGAAATACATTTTGGTTATCTTTTTCCGTGCTATATCTTTTTTCTTGCTGAGGTTTTTGTAAGAAGGATTGCTGGACAAGAGGCGGATCGAGGGATGGGGTGGGATGGGGTTGGCGGGCTTCATGAAACCCCAACAAATGTCTTCAAGGGCAAGTCCCCAGCCAAGTAGCCCTCCCTCACGACCCTCTGTTTTACGATGCTGTCTTGGAAGACGCCGACGAATGAAAAATGACGAGTTTCTTTTAAAGCTTTGGGCCGTGTCCGAACATACACGGTGATCTAGATGTAGTCTGTATGACGTGCAGGCCTAGTGGAAGCGACTGCAGCCCTATGGGCTACGAGCTGGGCCAAGAGAGGTCGTGATTTGCCTAACAAGGGAGGCTCCTTTGGAGGAAACTTCACTTCGCTGGTTCACGAACGACTATGAGATGCATGCGTTGCGTGCGCGTCGCTACCAAATGGCGGATAGCTAATGACTTCCGTGGCCGTGCGTGTAGCCATGGCTTCCCGACACGACCTTGGGTCTCGATCACACCCAATCACGGCAAAGTATGTTCTGAAAAGTCTTTCCCCTTTCTCCGTCTGATTTCTGGATTCATCCCCTGTAGGCCTATAATCTACAAGAAGCTTGAATCCAACATGGCACCTATGATTCCACAAGCCTTGCCTTCGGCACATACATCATCGGCGAGAAAATCACACTGAAACATGGGAAATGTATTATTTTCACTACGTACCATGGGGACAATACCGGTAACTGGGAATCGAATCTGCTTTGCTCATATTTAGAACATGTTTTATTCGTTTCGTATCGAATTTACTCGTTTTCAGTTTTTTCACCTTTTTGAACCCACGCATAAAGATTGAAATAGCACACCATACACCCTTCACTTTAAAAACACGTCTTAATGTTTAACGCCTTTAAACTCCTTCCTGGTAACACTTTATGAACGTCTTGTGGTGTTAATAATCCAGAGCTAAACAAGTTGTGGTGTTTATTTTTTAAACAAATACGTGTTGATGTGTTAGTACTCTTAGACACAATGACACATTTGGATGTTAACAACAAGACACAAAAACAGATTTATCGGGTGGTAACATTTTCTGAACGCCGACACATGTTTATTTCCAAAAAAGGTATAAATTCTCACGGTTACGTGTTTACAATTAACGCAAAGACGTTTATATAATGGATGTTGGGTTTGATAGTATTTATATTCAACGTGTGTGAACTTTCTGTTCCTGGGATGGCCGCGAAGCCACTTTAAACCGGCCAGGAATACGGGCGTTTCACAACAGTGCACCTGTCGACCCAATGCGCGTTTGAAAAGACTCGACAAATTTCGCGCACTGTGGTTGGTCAACGCGTTGCAAACTCTTGGAGGCACAGTAATGTGAATCGCCCGTTTTGGTTCAAATTCGACGCAGTGAGCAACAGCGACACAAGGGTTTTATACAAATACCTTAAGTGTGGAAGAGAATCTTCCAAACCATGTCAAATGTTAAAATTTACTCTGGAATCATGATCCAAGCTCCTGGATGCATCTTCACAGACGTCTGAAAATTATCTGGACTTCAGTTAAAAACCACTGCTTATCTGTCTACACGCAGGTTCCAAGTTTTTTAAATAATCTATTGTTTCAATAGCTTCAGGTTATTTCAGTCTGCAAATATCGAAAGGTCATGGTTTAATTGGATAACTGTCTTAAAATTAATTGGATTAAGGGAAAACAAATCAGAGAATGATCAGTGAAGAATATCAAAACTTTGCCACTGTCCGATGCCTTGCCATACAGCAACGTACCGCAATGTACTATGCTGCCCTGCAACAAGGCCGCCAAAAATCCTTCGTCTACGGAAATCCCCCATTACCAGTAACAAGAAGAGGCGATTTCCTCTTTTATTTACACCGCTGGAACCGTATCAGGAGGCATGTCGGGTCCGAGAGAGGACCCATTTGGCTCCTATCCCTATAGTGGGCGTGAACAACAAAGTCTTCTTGCTGGGGGCGTTAGAAGTTAAAAGATGACCTCGGATTTTCCCACTCGAGTGACGAAATAAACCGACATACCTCAAATTTTAGTCGCCGTTCAAGGTGGCCAGAAACCTCCCACGCGAGAAGGAAAAAAAAGGGTTGGGTGTTTGTTTACTTCGGGGTTGTCATAATAAAACTTGCCGCTTAATTGTTATCATCTCAAGCACACTCGTGCAACGGTTATAATTTTGTGGGCAGTCAGTGTCCGAAATCACTCCCCCAGGTTTTTGTTTGCTGTTTGTTTTTGAAAGTGGGCTTAATGTTGATTATTTTCTTTAAAACATTGCCTAATCATTCGTTCCCTACCCATCGTCCCCTAATAAAAGTTCCACAGTCTCACACTTACCGAGGCAACTGCGCTACGACACCAACCCTCTGTAATGTTATGGTATTTTAAATCGGGAAAGTGCACCGTGTTTACAACAAAGAATGAAATGCCATCATGTTGAATCGACATGGACGCAACATTCAGTTTAAACATCTTCACCGAGTAGTTCGAGAGCAATATTGTTATCACGAAAAACTCAAGAAATTACTTGGAATCTTTTTCCAAATTCAATGTATTTAAAGCCAAGCGTAGACGGGGGTCGGACGTCCCGATATCAGTAGAATCTGATCCGAAGACAGACTACTGGAATGGAACTCTCCCGGGGATGGAAGACTCCCTGCAGGCTATGTAGTTTCTCATCAATTAACTTTCATGAAAGTCTTTCATGAAAGAAAGTCTGTAAGAAATTCTGATAAGTACAGAGAGTTGTCTTGAGAAATGCACGTCGTCGAGCTAGACACAGTTAATTGGATATTCCCTTTCAGAACGCTTCGGGAAATGAAACTAAACAAGCCAACGCAGAACAAAAATGGGACAGAAATAAGTAGGTCTGCACGTACAAGAAGAACCGCTTGCGTTCAATACAAGGACAATGCCAACGTGGAAGCTTCCTAAAAGTATACATGATACAGATATCAGGGGGAAAAGTCCCATGGCAAAACGGTTTCTGATTTCCGATATCCCGGTACCTGGCCTTGTCCTGAGCAAAGGGTATTGTTTGTCCGATGGCAACATCCTTGGCCGTGTTGAAGAGGGCTAGGATTTCATGGAAAACTTCGTGAGTACACCTTGCATGACGCAATGTCGATTCAAACAGCCTTCAGCTTTTCTTCTTGGATGATACATAGCCAGAATATTTTATTCATGAATGATGTTTCTTTTTAAGCACGGTTTATATCCTATTTATGTCGATATACGTGGTGCAGAACAAAACCCGACAACTTAAAGCCGCAAGTCCTTTATTATTTAGGGGTCAAGATTATAAAAAATTTGCAATCTTAATGGGAATATCCGGATTTTTTTTGGGGGGAGGTGTTATATCCAAGAAGAATTATGAATATGCGAATTATGTGTCATTTACAGTGTCAAAGACTCTAAAATTAGACCTCTGAAAAATTGAAGAGAGCTCTTGATCGGGACATGTCGTGTTCTATCTGTGCACCAATGCGCATGTACGTTTAATATCGATACTTAATTGTCATTATCACAGCTGATGGCCAATTGAATTACCCGAAGAAGCGCCGTGGCTAAAGAAATTGGTACAATAAGTGCGTACGTGAAAGTAACGGTCTTTTCACCCAAAACACAGTACTGAGGACCTTAAAATGGGAAAAAGATATTTTACAGGGTTCACGTGTACAATGTGTAAGTTATCCGTTAGCACCCGGAAGAAAACACACATATTCAAGAAAACATGGATATTTCATTATGAAAAGTCTCCGTTGAAATTCAAGGAGTTCCTTGCATTTAACCGATGCCTGGAGTCGAGTGTACTTCAGTTGGAAGTTAACTTCATGAACACCCTTCCTGTCTAGGTAAATTGGATTATCTTCACATCACCGTCAGACTACAGGCGGCGAGTCCATTTAGCGACAAGAAAGTAGAGTGTCGCCTGGTCTCAACTAACAAAGCCATTATTCTCCTCTCAGTCCACTGGTAGACATCTTTTGATCTGTTACGCCTGCGTGTTTTTGAGAGAGGTTCTCCCGCTTAGTTTAAAGTTTGAAACTTCTTTGGAAGTTAATTTCAACTTCTGCAAGTGAAAAACTCTACACATCCTATCACAAAATAATGGAGTCTGTCATTTCAGTGACATTTAGAAAGGAAAGGCACTTTTTTTTTACATCTTAGTGATATAAAAATCACCAAACTTAAATTAGAGAGGTTATTTTTTGAACAGATTTTATTGATATAGTACACATTTGCCAAACCCTCAACTTTTCAGACTGGCTTTGTGCCCAATAGATCTATCCTTAGACAATGTTTTACTTGGTCATTTCTTGTTTCGAGAAACTGTGTTTGGCTTTGATTTTTTTGTCTAATTGTGAGCAGTCCCTCTGAACTCGTTTGCCTTCGGTTGTCATTAAAAATGAAATCTAAACGGCACCTTATGAAAAAAAAGATATACGATGCACTGCTCGCCGCAAAGGACCCCAACTCATCACATTTAAATAAATAAATTTAAATAATTCAAATTTCTACAAATTAGAATTCAGTTTGTCAAATAGTATATTTTTGTATACAATAATTTCTCAAGACGTTTATCTTGGTGCGTGTAATTTATAAATAATTTAATGTATAAATTACGATGTTGGGCTTGTCCGGAAGGAGCTAAGAGTTGCGAGTCCCTGTCTTGGTCTGAAACTGAGTGACGAATGATTGAACAGCTGTAAGTGCGTACAATTACATTAAAAAAAGAAAATCAAAGGAAGTGGTCTGAAATTTTATGTGTGTATGCTAATAATAGAATAATTGGTTACTGGCTAGCTATGTTCAGCCAGGTCAAGTCCACTAACGGTCACGATAACCTAAAACAGTTTCTCGAATCATATAAATCACGGCCACTCAGTGTATACTTGTACGTGTACCAGGATGTAGATTATTATAAAATGACCTGTACACGAAATATGCAGTCTAGCATTACGGTCACATTGTTCATGCTTATTTTGACACGGCTGTCTTGGAGTTCCTTGTATGTATTATGATTTAATAGTCTCTTTCCTCTCGTTTCTCTCTCCCTCCAGTTCTGTATTCCTGTACTTTTGAAGATGTTTCCAGTTGCTGGTTGAACGTGGAAGCAGCACGGTTGACCTGGATGATTGGAGGTCACCGGACTGACCCGAGTGGTCAAGGGCCACCCGCTGACCACACCTGGGGCACCGAAGTGGGTGAGTCTATAAAAAGCTGAAGAGGGCGCCATTTTTTTAGTATGTGACGACCTGCATTGTTAATTAGACACAGAGTGCAAAGGATGGCCGTCAGTTTTTTTTCTGTATTCCTACCAATTCCCCTCAAACAGAAGCAACCCCTCATCGGTTTGAAAATAGCCTTATTAGTCGGGAGTGTTAATTTTGCTGGTAGCAATGCGACCGTTACGCGTTCATTTCGCGGTCGTTTGTGAATCAGCGAAGTCCAGTTCCGACCGAAGGAGCCTCCGTTGCTAGGAAACTCTTCATCCAGCTCGAGGTTCATAGGCCTTGAGGCAAACTCGCGGCTTTCGTATGTCATTTGGTCATTGGTTCGATTTATATGTACAAATTGGACACACGAGAGGCTTGAGTCAATTCGTATTTCACAATTCACGGTAACAGTACAAATGATTTCAGGTTTTTGTCTTTCATTGCAAAAGCATGGCGTCTAGTAAAGTGGGGCTCACGGTCTCTGGTAGCTTGGGTCCTCGCTCACACTGTGTGCTTCGGGAGCGGACACTGGACGTGTGAAAACGAACACTGGAGCCCCGTTAGCCTCCTCAACCAGACATCTGGCATTTTCTGTCAGCCTGACCCACGTGCCACTCATAATTATCCATACATCGTCCCTCCGTCATGAGAAATGAAAGTCTATACCACCGTCACGACAGGGCCGTAAATTATGAATTCTTTCAACGTTTAACCATCAAGAATCCACCCCCTCGCTAATGCCATGCCCTCAAGGGACAAACCAGACAAAGAGCCGCTAGTTTCTGAAAACCTTGCGCCCCGAGGAACAGCGAGACAGCTTACTTATTCCGTTTGCAATTGGGAACAACTTATCAGCCACATCTATAGCTTCGTGTTAGCGCAGCTGTCTGGACGCATTAGTATCCTGATCTCATCCACCTGTAAGATGTCGAGGCCTGGTGATTTCAAAAGTTTGTGCACGGCGCTCGTACGGCAAAGCCATGCCACCCTATCTGCCACTTGTACTTAGGAATAAATCGGTCTGTATATTGAATTGTGTTATTGGTTTAAATACAAGGTTTTCCCATGTACATGGCTTTTTCAGATCTTTCAAAGCTGTAGCTCGCTTGCTGTACGCGCCTTGCTGTACATGCATTAGTTTTTATAAATGTGTTCTTATCAATCAATGAACAGGTGCTGGCTTTGGTCTTGACCCCAATATTCACCAACGACTTTTTCGAGAATGGTCTCACAGATCCTGCCTCAAACAGCTTGATATCGCAGCATTGACTCGCCCTTCGTTCATTCCAAAAACACACTTGTCTTTCATGTTTTCCCTCCATTTTTTTCAAGAAGACTTTTCGCAATTTTGCAGGTAAATATGTTTACACCAGGTCTGAAGACAAGGTGGTAGGCACGCCACTGGTTCGGAAGCTGACCTCGGCACACTTTCAACTCGCCATCGGTGAGGGCGTGCTCTCCTTCTACTTCTTCCTGTGGGGGTCCCCCGGCAACACTTTGAACGTATACGCCGAGTGCAACAGCGACATGTCGCTGATCTGGGGCTATGGGTCTTCGACTGGTCTGATGAACAGCTGGACAAGAGCAGAAGCGCTGGTACTCTGCAACGACAGCTTCACGGTAGGTGAATTCAGCAGTGGTGCACGGCTCGTAGGTGCCTGTCCCGCTTCAAAGTGCCCACTTCTTAGCGCCCTCTTCGGACACTCGATGATACAAGAGGTCGGAATAGTATGACGTGATTGGATATCGCTGTTTAACGTCACGCGGTGTTGTTCATGACTGACTTTCACGGGTACTATGCATTTTTATGGCGACCGACTGGCGCAAGAAGAAAGTTTCAGTCAAGAAATTATGGAATTCTCTTTCTGGTCCCCGGACGATCCAACGCATCCATTTGGCCCACCGGTAGAATTGCACTCAGAAATCTAAATCTATCAGAAAATTTAATTCCTGAGTATGAATAACCGAAGTAAAGTACCACGTTCAAGGATTTTATAGAATATTCGATTTCGGACAGACAAAACGAGAATGATAAACCAGTTAAACTCAGGTCGTTGAGAAATATCTTTGAAATGGCAAATGGTAATCACTCGAGACTGATAGAGCCTGGGCACGATTTTGTTTCTTCGAATGGAAGAGTGGGATATTTGTTGAATTTTTCTTTTCGGACAATCGATGTTCTCCTCCACAGATTATCTTCCAAAGCATTCACAACTTCAACAACAGTTTCATTGCTGTGGACGACATCACTTTGAACGGCAAAGAAACAGGTATCGTATTTTTCAACGGTCCTCAATTTTCTTTTGAATGAGAATAATTTTTTATATCGTGGGTTATTTCCGTTTAACCGCACCGTTCATAACATTCTGTGTTTTCCATCTTGATCTTCACACATTCTGTCTCATTTATGAATATGCAAAAAAACTCCCTGATCAATGGCATGCGAAAAAAAGGGCCATCTAGATTAAGACTATATTCAGCTAAACCATGGCAAAATGCCTCAGTATAAAGACTGCACTCAAAAAGCTACTTTCGTGTGGTCAATTATAGTCCATGTATCTGGAAGACGATCCCTGTGGACAGAAAGTGAGTCAGGCCCCTTGACATTTTCCGGGGTCCCGGTTGCCTTTTGAAGTTCCAATCCAGGAAGCATTTTTGGTGCGGTTTCCCCTCTTCACCGGAGTCCACCATATTGATACCAAACTATACACGGCCCGGACTCTCTACAAACATTAAGTCCTGCCTGAAACTCCTCATACGTCGCATTAGAGTTCCCCCAGGTGAATTTTCCACCGGTACTCCTATTAGCGACGGTTTCCTCTTCAGTGGCAGCGCCGGGCTGGAGTTCATGTTGTGATGGGAAATTCACAAGCCAAACTGTGAGGAAAATAGTTGCATGTGTGAGGATCATTCGGCTCTTCAATTTCTCGTAGTTTTACCATCAATATCTAATCAAACAACAGGTTGCAGTGAAGGTTGGATATCTTTTCTTTACTGTGACGTCACGTTTCTTGATGATTAATCCACCGTCTTCGAGTTCAGCCGCTGGAGAGGAAAATGTTGATGTTGAGCCAAAATCTCTGAAATGTCACCTGCAACTGAATTCTTATTTCGGTAATGGATAACCTGAGAGTACTAAACCAGCTATCCGTGTAGTCCTCGTAAGCCGGACACATTGAAAATCGGGATATGGGCCATCAGTTTGCCATTAAAGAGAGCTACTGGAGACGTTTTCTTGACATGAATTCCTGTCAGCACCAGGGACATGCTCCCATTCATCTTCAATTCTAGTGTCACCATTCTAGGGCTTCTAAAGGGCTTTTTATTAAGATTTACATATTCACGAGGAACTTAGCGATGCCATCTTTATTTCTGTGATGTATCATCTTGTACTCTTTTTCCTTCCAGAATCTAAGCTTTTTTCCCGATCCCTTTTGACAGATTCTCTCGTGTCAGTGAAAACACCTACGACCGGTACAAATGTTGCGACAGAGGATGTCGTGAAAGAGCCCTCTGTGACCCCTGACGTGACCTCCGAGTCGCCGCAGGTTCACATGAATACTATGCCGACTGGTGGCGTTTACAACCAGCCTCAAGGTAAGTTACTAAAAACAAAACTTTAAGGACCAGACAACACAGGTGATTCACAATGGCGTGCCTACAAGAGTGTGCAACGCGTTGACCAATCACAACTCGCAAAGTCTGTCGACCCTTTCCAAACGCGCACTGGCTCTGTTCGGCAGGACGACAGACACAATGCGTGAACAAAAATTGACAAGCATCTAATCCCGTGCACACTCGCACAGTTTAGGTAAATGTTGATCTTTTTTTTAAGGAAACTGGTTGTCGCTGGTTAAGTTTACGTCTACAATTAAAGCATAGCAAGCTCTGTTATTGTACTTTAAATTTCAGAAATGAATTACTACTGCACTATGAATACAGCCTTTGTAGAAAACCTTTTATTCCATTCCTGCGCAGTGAGTTCTGTGATTCCCTTCATGTACTATTCTGTATAGCGATATTCTGGCAATACACAGGAACATGAATAGAGTTTCGACTGACAAACATGTGCCCTTTTCTCTTTTGTCCCAGGTACAATGACGTTGTCCATAATCCTGTTTCTTCTGGCCCTGCTGTTCATGATTGTCAGCCTCACCGTGCATTGCTACATCTGGCACAAGAGGAAGTAAGTGGCTCCCAACGTGATCGTAAAATAAGGCAAACTGGCTTGCTCGAGAACAAAACAGACACTCGATGAAGGCCTGCTCGCGAATATTATGCCACCCGCCTGTCACTGTGGTCGTTGGCCCACAGACTGTCAGCAGAATCACCTTTGATTGGCAATTTGGTAAAATGAGTCATGTTTGACGGAACCATAAAGCCGTTGTAGAGTAACAGTGACCAGACTTTCCAAGTCCTTCAAAATGAAGCCAAAGTTGATTTAAAATAATCTCTGAGGGTAAGGGTTAATTAATCATCGATACGGGCGATTCACAACAGTGCGCCACCAAGAGTTTGCAACACGTTGGCTAATCATAACGCGCGAAATTTGTCGATCCTTTCCAAACGCGCATTGGGTCGACATATTTCGCGCACTGTGATTGGCCAACGCGTTGCAAACTCTTGGTGGCGCACTTTCGTGAAACGGCCGTATCGAAAACTGCTTCGATCTGGTCTTTTCCACGGTGGTTGTTTCTTAATAGAAATTATAAAATAATGTTTACAGAACAAAAAAATACCAATAATCTATCTACCGATTGTTTTGATGATAATTTTCCACAGGAAATGTGCTGTGAGGATGAGAACAAAGCAAATAAACGTACACAACTCTGGCTACAGCTGCCCAGTTCACAGCACACACCTCCCCAAAGTGGTCGTGCATAGTGAAGATTACAAGATGCCGACGACCAGGAAATCAGAGCTGAAGCACGGCCTGCAAGCCGAGAAGCCGTCCGTCAAGAGCACCGAGAGCGGGACTGTGGCGAACGGTGGGCTCCCGAGCAGCATTGCTCTGCCCATCCTGCGAGGCCGCAGCAAAACGGTGCCCAATAAACGGAGCTTTGAGCATTACGAGGCCATCGAGATGGGCAGCGACAGCGACGAGGACAGTGAGAAGGGCAAGAGAGTGCTGAGTGCCACTGGGAACAAAAGGAAGAAGGGGTTCGTCGGGAAGGCTCGCCACTTCACCCGCAGCAACTCCCTGCCCACCTCCCCGGGAAACGATTTTTACGAGTCCATCGACCACAGCCGCATCAACCCGGCTCCCTTGGCCTACCAAGTGACCGATCTCCTGCCCAGCCTATCCAGCACAAACACCCTGGTGGATGAACTTCAAGACACCCGCTCTTCCATTGGTTCCATCCCTAGCATCCAGAGCAACCATCTCAAGCCGCCCATGCTGTATGACAACTTGGAAAGGAAGTCCCCCCTGCTGTCACAACCGTCCCGCCACTCTCCCACCAGCAGCAACTACACGCCTCCGTCTCTCCTGAACCTGTCCGGGTCGCAGTGCAACGTGGCGTCGCTCTACGACACAGTGTCGACCTCCCAGGCCGATGCCTCCTCCCTCTCGTCGTACGACACGCCCACTGTCCACATGGACTCCTCGCCACAGGTCAATCCTTTCTTTCAGTCAGTGCAGCCAAGCGAGATGTACAACGCGCTCAACCGGCATCCTAGGCCTAACACGCCGCCGGTCATCGGGGATGGATCGCTTACCCCAAGCCCGCCTTCACCGGCGGTGTTCCGGCCATCGGCCTACCAGATGCCACAACCGAAGCCCAAGGACTGCCCCCCTCAGCAAAATGAGTATCACACGCTTGATCCGGACGCGATATCTGATACCAGTTTCGAGAAGCCAGTGTCGGTGGACAGTGAAACGGCTTACGAAAGTCCTCAGACTAAAACACTTCAACAAGTGAAAAGCGAGTCAAGTCACGACTACGAGGACTTAGACTGAGCAACTTGCCTTTCCCTCTGTGTTATCTCTGAATGGATGCATTCCTGAGATTCAGTTGATGTAATGCCAATGACTATGAAATTCAGTAGTTTCAAAGATGGCAGATAAGTCAACCAGAAGTGTATGTATAGTTCAAACGCACAAAGCAGCTCAATTTTGTGAGTTCGGTTTTTAAATTTTAAAGATTTGTACACAGATGAACACCGTAATTTTTTGTAAAATGCGCACCTTGACGAATGTTTTTGTGATTGCGCTGTAAATAAAGTGGACATTTTTGACTGAAATAGAGGAGTTTCCAGGTCAGTTCGACTGGGAAAGCTAGATTAAACTCTTTGAAAGACATAAGCACCGTTCCTTTTCACAACTGTAAGGCCTTAGCGAATATTTTTAGAGATGCGGTTCGCACTGAATTCTAAATACAGTAGCAAGATGATGGAATCGGTGCACGTCATATTTCTATGACTTATCGTCACCACTCTTCGTTTTAGCCACAACATACGTCAATCTAGCATGGGCAAGAGGTCACAGGGTGTGAATGAAAGCAATGGGATGAAATATATTTTGTGTAAAAAAGTTTTCCTACTCAGGGGGACAAGTGACGGGGAAGGTTCTTGTCTTCAAATAAGAAGCACTTATTTCGTTCTTTCGTTAGTTGCTGCAGAGGAGTGCATTGGTGCAGTCCCAAGATCCGATGCTCCTTTAGCATAAAGGAAATGAGGAGACATCATTTCTAACTTCTAACTTTATGGTGAAACTGACTACTGTTTATCTGTTTATGTTCATCCAAAAGCGCATTCAGCGCCAACTACAAGACGAAGTGAAGATGTATTCAATTTTTAGAGGTGGGAGGAAAACCATGGATAATATGTTCCAGGGAAAACCCAGACATTCAGACAGAGACTGAAAACCCAATCCACATGCTGACCTTGGTGGGATTCGAACCCGGGTCGAGGAGGTGGAAGGCGAAGAAAGAGCCACTGCACACCAAGCTGACTCTCAGCGCTTATAGACCTACATGTTTGTGGAAGGCTGCGTCAGAATCTAAGGTCAGTGTCGTTGGTTGTTTCATTTCTTCCGTGCTGAGGCGAACTTTCATGAGGAAAATAAAGCTCTGAAGTTTTTCCCTTTCTGTACGTAATCGAGATGGTTGACTCCAGATTTTCTGTCACTTCTGCTGTGCTGAACTGGTCTGTATTTTAGTGGGTTTGGAGTAACAGAACCAGATCCTAAAGGTTTCTATGAAATCGGGGGAAAAATGTTTCAGCCGGTGTTAAGGGTGGGTAACAACATTAAAAAAACTGAGGAACGATTATGTAAATACCGGTGTTTCACAATAGTGCGCCTCCAAGAGTTTGTAACGTGTTGACCAATCACCTTGTGCGACATCTGTCGACCTAATGCACGTTTGGAAAGGGTCGACAGATGTCGCGCCTTATGATTGGTGAACGCTTTGCAAACTCTTGGAGGCGCACTGTACTATTGTGAAACGCCCGTATTGTCCAAGGCCGTACTTTCTTAGGCTGCATCCGAATCTCTTGTCTAGAGCTAGGTCTTAGTATTCACTCCATTGGAAATGCGTGGAGACGCTCAGACAATAGACCCAGCCGTAGCTCTGGAAGCCCGTTTCGGACACGGCCTTTTACTCAAATGCGCCGTGAATGAATAAAACTTCCTGAACAAGAAATCCCAGAATGCTGCCAGTTTGAGACATGCTGAGTTACAGAATGGCATGCACTCTCCTGGAAGGAAATGACAGTTCATAAAGTATATGAAGTGTTTCCCGCGACACAGCGCCATGGCGCTACAACGCTCAGTGCTGCCGAGACAGAGTCAAACTGAGCCGATGACAAGCTGCTTGGATTGAATCAGGGTTAGGGAAAAGGTAATTTGGTTGTAACGGGATAGAGTGGATGTAAATGTCCAGTCTGGGGTAATGACGACTGGCCGAATTCAGTATCGACGACCAGGAGTGGAAATCAAACGTGTTTGTGATGAACTGCTTGTAAATAAAATGTGATAATCAGGTTGATTTTGTCGCAGATAAAATGACATTTTGCTGACGTCCATTGTGTATTCTGGAGACTGGAAATGACAACATGAAATAAAATGGCTATTAAAATACCGCCGACCGGCTGCCGGTGTATTTGTGTCGTACAGCGGGTTGAGATCGGGTGGGATGGGGCAAGGGTTGAGCATGTGGGCAGGCTCACTTTAGTCTTAAAGATGCTGCGTAAGTACCTTTTTTTGTCGTGACACCCCGCGAAAAACTTATACGCGTACTTGAGAACCAAACCAATCTGGATTGCTGCACATGCGCGACAAGTCCCACAGCAAAACAAACAAAATTGCAGGAACTTCGAAAGCGTTGGCTGCCCTCATGCATATTCGCGTCTGATGCGAGGTCAAATCTTCTACCGAAGCACAGAACATGTGACTAGTACACCCGGGAGTTGCAGGCTTCACACCCCCTTTCCTTGTCGTTCAAAAATATTGCCGTATTCCTGGTCCGGCTCTCCAACATAGTTGAATATAAGATCAGATTTCGTACCTTTTGCTTTCAGGAAAGTCGCCAATAAATATAACCAGAGGTTTATTCGAATCCTTGTGATAAAAATTCCCTGGAAATGAAAAACTTACATGAGCAAAACAAAATGTGTGTATAACAGGCCTGCCCACATTTATCTCATGGGGTTGTTCTGAATGTTTGAAACATAGTGAAGGAGCATAGTAGAGAAAGGACGCGGAAAGGTTGAAACTGAAGTCAGCGTGGTTGTAAATTATAAAAAAGGAAAATATTCCTTTAATTATAAACATAGTCTCTTGACCTATTTCAACCCTGAAAGTTTGCACTATTTGCGAGGTGCCCCGGTATATAAAGACACTCAGTTGGTTTCAGTATACTAGAAAAATTCCTCAACATGACGCAACTTTGGGGGTCAGAATCTTAACATCAATTCTTTGTTTTCTTTAAAGCCGAACCGCGCCGTTTTTACCAGCCGTCACAGAATGTTAGTTCTGTATTTAGAAGCGAACAAACTCAATGACACGGGTGAATTCCGTCCCCTAATATCCTCGTGTAATGACCATACAATGGTCGTATCGGATTTCTTGTCATGTATGAAATTACATTTTTCTCTGAACTGACAGCATGCTAGCATACGTCAATTTTCAAAGGATACGAGGTGGCAATCCCGTTTTGGAACCGACCAAACCTTTTGTAGCAAGGTGTATTTTACATTTGGGATATGTTAATATTTAACAACGGCTTTACTCTTACACCGACGTATATGGACATGTATATAACACTGTATACCTCAGTGCTGTCCGAGAGCTTACGAAAAAATTCAGAAGCTTACTCGGGTGGGACTCGAACCCACGACCTCCTACTTACTACTAGTGCAAACCTCTTAACCACTCGACCACCGAGCTTGCCGAGGTTGGCTGGACAGTACGCGGTCCGAGTCAGATGTAGCAGCGGGCCCCGCAAACTGAAGGTTTTCCCCGGGGAAATTCGGAAAATGCGCGATCTTATTTGTAAAATGAAATTTTCAATTTAGTGTAGATTTTGAAAACGACTTCAAACCTGCTTTCATTTTTGCAAAAACAAGCATTCGACTTCGTTTTGCATCCTTCAAATAAACGAATGTGCATTACTTTTCGTTCAAGAGGTTCCGTGATTGGGATTTCGGATTGACGTATTCCTTGCCATTTACAACAAAACAATGTGCATTCTTATTCGCTGAAAATCTGTCTGTTACCGTGACCCTTCGGAAGTGAATATTCACTTTCATTTGCTGTAAATTAAAATCATAAAATGTATGTTCAATTTGATTAGAATATACAAGGCTACACAAATCATGACACCAATTTGATAATAAATGTCATGTTACTCATCGATGGTTATGGTGTGTTTGCTATCAAACTGTACGAAAAATAGGGTTTCTATGATCGAAAAGCAGCACAAGAAGGAAAGTTCCCTCAACGCCGGTGTTCATAGGTTTCCTGCAATGATCGGCAGTTTCCAATGACAGCATGAATGGTTTATTTCAATTATGAATATTCAAACATTTAACCAATCTACTAAACACTTCTATGAATGTAACTTCTGTTGGCACACAAACGATTTCTAATCCTTGACCAGGCATACGTTAAAAAGCACTTGGCGTGAAATTGCCTGCACATTTTAGGAAATAGATTGAGTTCAAATTAAGATCAATGCAGGATGACAGAGGTGCATTCGATTTTGCGGAAAAATGAACGTCAATAACCTGAGCAATACCAGGAAATTGAACACTGACTCTGTACGGCCCGGCAAATGTACCTTGTTTGAAATAAAACTTGTATTTGTTAAATAGAAATGGGGATTTGAATGTCCTATTTCGCTCGAAAACGGATGCTGCTATTGTTAATGCATTGACACATTTTCCCGAAATGGCGGGGAAAACATGTATAACAAGGTGTGTTTTTAAACCTTTTGCTATGCACGTAATTCGATCGGTTGATTTCTCCTTAACCCTAAAACCCCCTAGTGTGCATGTAAAATCATATTGAAATCGGGGGATGTGTGACGGTGTAGGGCTATTGACCAGATTTCGAATGACCATCATTTGGTATCCGCCATCCTGATGATTCTTCGAAGAATCATGAAGCGCGGGTACCGTTGATAGAAACCGCGGTGAAACAGAGTGTTACAGTAAACAGGAAGCATTACTGAATGTATTGAACAAAGTCTTTGGATGCTCGCTGTGTTCAGAACGCACAGAGCTTAGCAGCAAGTGGGTTCTTATTTTTCTGCTCCAACCTTGTTGTTGCAGCAATCATCAAAGAGTTCGTTCTTTGCAGCAGTGTTATGGTTGATTTTTTTCCACGAGTATGACGCGAGTTTTTTTCCATGAGTACGAGTACTTTTCCATAAGAATGAGTACGAGCATTTTTCCACGTGAAGAGCTAGTACATGTATTAGTACAGAAAAAGTATGCCCTATCCGACTCGAGTTTTCCTCCTTGGCAAAAGTTCGTGTTAGTCTTTCTCAGAAACCATTTCCATTTTCATGAGCCGGTTCTGTGTTATTTCAAAAAGGTAAGGCCATTTGGGAACAAGGTCCGCTTACGAGTCAGCGCGTGGCAGGCTTGCACGCGCGCCGTGTTCATGAATGACCTTGGACGCGATTCAGTTTGGGCACGTGCTATACTGGTCGGGAGACCGGGCTCATTGAGGTGAACACTCGTGACTGTCTTCTTTCCCAAGGACAAATATCGAATGGATTTCAACAGAATGTGTGCACGGGTGGAAATCCTGAAATGGAATGGCGGATACATGAACGAGCTTCCTTCCCATATTCTAAACAGATCCGTTGTGGTTAAATTCCACATAAAAGTGTCCAAAGCTCCCCCATGCATAATCAGTACATGTTGTTCACATAGCTATGGTTGTTGAAGAGTGTGAGATTTCTTATGCTGGAGGGAAGGGGGTTACCAGGCTGAGTATCCGGCCGCGAGAGGGTGGGACGGGGGGGGGCGCCAACACGGTCTTGGGATCGAAACCAACTTGAAAACCTCAAAGACATCCAGCCTTAATTACACGCCCATGTTAAACGCACCTGTACCAACACGATACGGGATTGTGGTTCGTGTTGGATCCCGGGAGGTGGAGTTTTGAGTTATGTATAGTAACGAATTATTTTACAAGGGTAACCAATCGCCGCTCCCTCACCACACGATGCGTCAAAGGTTCCGTGGTCTTCTATCAAGTCTTCCCTCCCTTGCTCTGACCAAATCATGTAACCATGAGATTTGAAGCTTTAGGTGGAGGTAGCAAGTAAATTGGGTAGGTTTGTGGACGATGGACAGAGCATACAATTCGAAACGTGGAGTACACGGGTTCTTTTCAGAAGCCCATGTGCTCAAAAAGATATATATCCATGGTGCTACAGCAAACGTATCTACATGTAGTTTACTCATTTAACCATGCAGCCGTTGCTTTTGGCGTTTCCGTGTCCATACGCCACTGCACAAAATCTGAGGCATCGGACAACTTGACCTTTAGATACGGAGGAATAACATGTATTCCTTCATGCTTTACCCACTGTACGTTGTATTGGCATTGACTCTTGCGTGAAGGCACCCTGCATCATTAATGCAACAGCAAGTGCAGCCTGGCTTCCATCGTATCTCAGCATTTTCTTCAAAACGAGGCAATAATGGGATGCAAACTCACAGCGACACAAACTTCACTGGCAGCAACCCGTACTCATTTGAACACTTAAATTTGTGTTTGTTCAGCGTGAAACAGAAGGGGGGGGGAATTGTGAACTGCTATGTCCATATTTTGCGCATCACACAATCAGTACTGTCGTCCTCACTTCACCCCTGGATTGAAATGAGGCTGATGACAGTGCTAACGCTTAGCGAGAGCCATCTGGATGAACAACTCATGCGGGGAATTCTTTTCTGCGAATCCTGTCACGGTATATCATAAGAGAGGTCAACAGAAAATGACACGGGGGCGTACATGACAAATGGGAACTGTCATACAATAATGCCCATTTTGAGTTCCAGTGTGCCCAGCCGGATTGCATGAATATGATATCATTTCTGCGAGCAATGCCACTAACACTCGAACTAGATTAGACTCTAAAAGATGAACTTCTTCACCTTTTCAAGAGGCCTCTTAAGAATACACCACGAGTTGCCCTCTCTCTTTGCGCGTTAAGAAGATGCAAACTTCAGGGAGAGATGATCAGAGGGTTTGATTACTAGATCCTGATCGCACAGATCGTGGACGTTTATAATTCAAGTTCATTTGTTCATTTTATAAATAAAGGTGTTGTGCTCGATCATTGTTCCGTCTGTTACAGTGTTGCTTCAAAAACCTGGCATAGAATTGAAGCCTTTTAAGGCTTGTTTGATTTCCTGTGGAATTCACATACTTCATGAGTCCTGAGCTGGACTAACGGGGGGGGGGATTTTCCTAGCAAAGCAGTCTCCTTTGGTAGGAACTTTTCTTCGCTGGTTCACAAACAACCAAGAATTGCAAGTGTTACATGTCGCATCGCTACCAACAAAACGATTACTCTCGACCAACATGGCTCTTATCAACCGACGTGGGGGTGCTTCTGCTCGAGGCGGATTATGTGCATCAGACATAACATTAATGACACTGTACAGGCTGAATCGACGCACCTATTAATCGTGTTTACGCACAACGCAGGAACTATCTGACCCTAGAGACTGGGATGGTTAGGGTCTGTAACTCCCAATCACAGGTTTGGTGTGTGTGTGTGGGGGGGTGTCAAGTTGTAACCCCGGGGAAGTTTATACCCCTTCTTGCCCCCATTGGGGGTGTAAATGAGTACAAGTGTGAGGGTAGAAATGGTAACGTGTTTGATTACCAACCGTTTGCGTCTATAATGGCACCACCAAACTGCTATACTTACCGGGGAACTTATATTGCCTCCTGAATGTTAATGCAGCGCAGAATACAAGGATGTAGTACCTAAATCCTGAACGAGATATTTGGCAGTACGGTTACAGTTCAAGACTTCCTTGTTTCGAGTATGCGTCTTCTGCTGAATTATGTCCAACGTAATTATCCATTGACAAAACAATATTTTGACATCGGCTCTATACAGTGACAAAAGCGTCCGTTTGACAGCTAACTTATTTCCTCATTGTGAAGTTTTTGTTTTGAGGGGGATCGGTTGAGCCTCCTGCCTGAAAGAAAAACCACTTTCTTTATCTATAGAGAGACTCAAAATTCAGACCAGATTGATTTCAGTTGCAGTAATAGAGAAGAGGAGAGCTAACCTGGCTATGTCGTGAAGTTAGATACATTAGATACATTTCCGTGACTGATATTTTGATGGAACTGATCACGACCGTGTACTGGCTTTACAAAGCATGACAAAATAAAACATGATGCCTACGACCGCATGCCTAATTGCGCATATACAATTTTTTTTTTCATACGGGAACAAACTGAGCGCACAGGGAAACGGACCGCGGCGTTGGTGTCTGGGTGGGCAAATGAAAATATTGTGTGAACTCAGATCTGGAAAGTTAACATCTAGAAAGGCAATCACAAGGAATGATCCGGTTTGGCAAAGTTCTTTAGGCCTATGAGTACATGATTCGGACCTGAATTTTCACTGTGGGAGCCATAGTATTCAAAGACATGGCGTGTTTAGAGACCTTCAAGGGGCATTTAAGCAGTGTTTAAAAATGCATTTCCCCCTTTTATGGCATGTAAATTATACGAACTGCAAGAAAGTGTTGTGGTACTCGTTCTCCTACTCATAACTTTCATGAAGCTTTTTCCAACACCTGATTTTCATCTCTGCTAGTGATGGGTATTGTTAGTAACTGCGCAATAAAAATGTTCCTTATTGTTATTTTAATTATTACTTTTTTCAGTACTTTCACTCATACTCCTCCTACTCATACTCGTACCCAAGTACTTGTACTTCTGGAAACGTACTTGTACTCGGGAGCCTATCGGGGCAACCATGAACCCATGCACCAATTTTAAGCCCTGATGGTTTCGGTTAGGCCTATGGTGAAAAGTTGACAATCTCGGCAAAGAATCGATCTCACAGAGGAAATGTGGTTGCCAGGGGAACGTGTCTGTTCAAGGAAATATTTGACCCACTTGAACCATCGACCTTACTAATCAGGATCCTTGACGTCAGGCAGCAAGGTCAACTGAAGAGAAATCGTACGTGGTGGAAGGAAGTAGACAAACCGCGGTGAAGTATCGACGTTGTGCATGCATGAACAGCAAAGGTTCAAACTGCTGGACACCCAGAGTTCAGTCAAAAAGGAGAACTTTGTATAGTATTGTAAAAGTGGAAGAAAGAAGAAGAGAAAATATGCTCCTAAACGTTGCAGGGCGGACTCAGAGCCATTTTTTTCGGATGTGGTCCCAACTTTTTTTTGGGGGGGGGACTACATTTTGAAAATGTTTCCTACAACCTTTCATGTCCTTTCTGAGGAATGATGCTACATTTTGGGATTTATACGCATTCTTGAAAGGGAGGGAAATGAAACAGACCAAAACACAAAAATAAACTTTCCTTTAAAAACCCAACACTTGTTTTGGTTCCTGAGGGATGGCTCCCCCGGTCCTTGCCCGGTCCACCCCGTTCTTAAAAACTTTGTCTTTGATTTTGAACAGCATCAATCACAAATGGATTGTTTCTTGTTAAACAGGTCAACCATGCACGTGATTACAGGAAGAAAGAAAGTAGGGTTTATCAATCGCTTGATGCAACAATTTTGTAATTTGACCTAACAGTTAAGGAAATGCATTGTCGGGGAAGTTCAGTGGTGTGACTAATTTAATAATTAACCGTATCTCTCCTCAGAACGAGCGCGCGGGATGTCGCTCTCGTCCGGTGCTCTACCGAGTGCCCACTGCGGGATGTCGTCACGCCTGTCCGCGGTCCGTACGAAAATTGTCTTCCAAAACAAAGATGTCATTCGATTGTGGCACTAAAACAAAGCGGCCTAAAACGATTAATCATCTGCTTGCGTGGAATTGGAAACAATCCACGGTGAAGAAACCGCAGCTGGGCGAGCATAACTTTAATATAGGATGGATTCTCGTGTCAATATCCGGTGTGCTAATTAAGCGTGTCTTTATTCATTGTCCGTTCTAATGGGAGTATCCTTATCAACCTTGCTACTATGGCATGGTGCCTTATGCTTCAGCACCCACAACTGATAATCCCCGATGGAAACTCCTCCCTAGTGTCAACAAACGAGTGACGGTCCTTTTCAATTCATGAACTTAATATGAGCGGACCAACTTTCACAATTAGTCATAAAATTGTTCGCGCACCGTTTCCAAGACCGGCGCGCCGCGGCTGTGTGTGAATGTGCGATATCATTCGTGCCAGAGGATGAACATGTAATCCATCCTTCGCGTGAATATTGATTTGGTTGTCTCCAAATTCTTAAGCCTGGTTATCATAAAGAGGCGTCATGTCAATTATTTTTTCTCCTCTCCTATCAATGATGGTCTAGTTCTCATTCTATATTTTTACGGTTCCTAGAATATATTTGATGCCATTTTATTTCTTGAGAAAACGTCTCCCCGCCCGTTACTCTAGCGGTGAGGTTGAAAAACTGAGCTGCAGAGCGTAAGAAGATAACCAGATCTCTCGAAGCTTGACACCGTGAAAAAGTTAGGCAAATTATTCTCTGGATTTTTCACTTCGGAAGTTCAGATCTGGGGCAGACGCGTAGTCCGATGTACGCATATTGCTTATCAGAGGGCCCAACACAAAAAAAGTCTTCCAGTACATGTCATTGGTTAGCTATCCCTCGGTGAATAATTGACACAAGGGCTCAAGCGGGAGGCGTCGGTGGGACATGAGCCGGTCGAGTTCTTCACCGTGGGTGTGTCGCAGGTTAGTGAGAGCTGAGCAGCGATGCGATGGGCAGTCAATCTGAGTGATTTCACGTCCATATGAGTACATGTATTGGTCAGTATGACATCAGCCGCCAAGAAACGAGAATATCAGTTATTTTGTCGAGCAGGCAGTGGAGTGTGGTTGTTGATTCCATATGCTTGCAGGAAGAACGCGTGACTACATTGCAGCACATCTTCCGCTGGTCTAGTGGCCGACCGTACGTGCGGCCGGAAGGCTGATTTGTACGACAGCAAAATGACGTGTGCGCCCGTTTCCCTTGAGCTTGCTGGTGACCCAAGGTCGGCGTGTGCTCGCAATGAAATATTGTGCTAACAATTAAATATTGATAAATAACATTTCAAGTCCAGGAACCCCCCCCCTCCGGAAAAAAATCCGGACCTTGAATATGTCATACAAATATGAACAAGTTGGAAACGATATTGCAATGTTTCATTTTGTAAGCAAAGTAGCTTTATTATACACTGCCACCCATCATAATGGGACTACAAGCTGAAAACGGCAGACTTACATTTGACCACTCATTTCAATGTCTTGTGGTCTTAAAAGCGACTGCAAATTTTGCAACGAGAAGGAGCAAGCATACCCCTTCCAGGCATCATCAGAAGGCGTGACATGCCAATCGGCCATGTTTGCACAGCATAAGGACAAAATTGTACACAACAATCAATCTTGGGCACACAAATTGGAAAAGACCGAAATAGTACGACCGTACGGGGCGCGGTCCGGTCTGCGGTTCAGCCTGAGAGCACATGACAACTGTATGTGATCTAGATAAGAGCGGGGTATAACCATGAAATCTAGGACACCGATTTCGTAATCGATAAATGATTTAGCACTCGTGGGAAACAATAGGCCGAAGCTAGTCAGGGCAGTTCCTGGGCTGTAATTCAAGAGATATCATCAATTTGACAAACGCTGCCTGGAGAGACGACACGCCGGCAACAAGGATATCGTGTCTTTCTGGTTGCAGTTGCTTTACGGTTTGAAGGCAATGAATCGGCATCGCTTGGAATAAGTAAATCCGTCCTCGGACATTGCCTCGCTAAAGAAACTCCAAAGATGGCAAGCAGTAACATTTCTACGGGAAGCCCCCCCACGAGTAATGAAGAGGATGCCGCCAACACGACAGCCTCTTCGCTGGGTAGGTATACATGCACATCGTTAAGTTTTAAGTCGTCATTGGATTTGATATGCAGTTGCAGTGGGGTCATGCCGAGAAACCAAACCAGCTTTTTGATCCCCGGAGGGGGAAAAATATAAAATAACCTTTAAAAATCCCATCGTAGAACATGCCAAAAATGGGAGTTCGAACATCGACAACACTTACGGGAAGGTATTTTGCTTGTTTAAACGAGGAGTAACAAGCAGCGTTGGTGTACGACTCATCAAAGGAACTCCATTTATTAAATCGGGTAACGGGGGCTAAAGATTGCGCTGGAAGTAAACAAAAGAAGAAGAAGAAAAAGAGGTTAAAATATGAATTATTTATTTCTTAGGAAAGAATGTCCCCGTCTCATACTATTCACATAAAAGACACATCGTTGAAGTAAATGTCTGTTCGGGATCGTGCGTATTTCATATCATTTTAGCGATTCTGTGAATAACAGCACTTTAAATGTTCAAGAAGATATTAAAAAAAGGAACTTGCTTGAATTTCCATTGTATAGGCTTTCGAGAACTCGGTGAAAGAAACGCGTAAAAGATTGTCTGCACGAAACTCGCAGGCTTGGTGACACTGCACTGGGCCGGGCAGTTCGGTCCACTGCAGATTCAAACGCGTGCGTGGCAGGGAATCAGTGTACCCAGACATGAACACGGTACCGAGTCTAGATGCACTGGCATCATCACGGGGCTACGGTCTACCTACAAAATTCTTTGGAGCAAAGTTCTTCGCTATAAACAAACATGAGCAGAACAGGAATCGATGAGGTAACTTTAGCTCTCGGAAAATCCTTCTTGTGGGTCCAGCACAATTTCTGCCTTCCGGCTGGGTTCGAAACGACCTTTCTTTGAAAGTCACGGATGATCCCCGCCGGGGATGACAATCTCAGAGTAATCTGTGTAGGCTTTACACAATCGTCTGTTAGGGACAACTGGAAAGGTTTTGTGAAACTGAACCGTTTTAAAAGTTTCTGTTTTGTGTATAGCTCTGGCATCTCAGGCTTTCTCCACCTGGAGGACATTTTGTTTTCCGATGAATTATTGTTAGAATTTACGACTAAGTGGAAAATACCCATCTCACCTTTCCCAAATTATCCCGGTGCATGTGAAATCGGAACATTTTCATTGCCTGGGTGACCTTTCACATCTGGTAAGCAAATTAACATCTCAAACAAAGTACAGCGGATGCGTTACCGTGCTGAAAGATAAAACTTCCGCGTTTTAGGCGTTGAGGGTGTTCGAGTGCGTCGAGACGTGCGGGAGCCAGCGAGGTTTCTTATCTGACAGTTGCTGCCCGCATCCTCGCTGGTAATCCATCCAAGGCCAAACGACGCCAGGTTGACCTTTGGTGTAGTGAAGCACATATCGTCAAACGCCACATTCTAGTTATTGGAGTTGAAAAACGATGCGTTGTCTTACTGACGCTCATATATCAACACATTGCAGTCGGAAAACATTCATGAACGAAGCGAGTATTTCAAGTTCATCCACCAAAGTTGACATGATTTGTTTTGAAGCCTTGAAATAGGGCAAACGTGACACTGAAGATATTTTGCTGAGCAATTAAACACTTCTTTTAAATTAATATTTTCTTGGCATAAGGTTCAAGCTTGTTTAGATACATGTACTGGACATGCTTGGCATTGAAAGATAGTTTCAGGAGTAGATAATTCATTTTGTGTTTAGGAATTGGGCACGTAGCAGTGGAACTTGTAGAAAAGTGATATCAACATTGTGTTCAATTATATGTTAAATGTAGATTTAGATTGTGAACTAAATATTTGGAGCATACAGAAGTTCCACAAGCATGCCATACTAATTCTTTGTCGGAGTCCACAGCAATCCCACTTCAACGATGCCAAGCGCCCTCTTTATAATCGTGGTCATAGGAAATAACCGAAGCACATTATTACTGAGTAGTAGCGTGTATGAGTGAAGTGAAAGTGCTTTTCTCTTGTGTGACACAAAACTGTTCATAGAGTTGCGAAATGAGTGTCTCAGTTGTTGGAATCGAAAATGGTGAATTCAGCCGCCGTCAGTGCACCATATGGACAATCTACAAAAAGCTCTGGTGCTACACCAACGCAAGTGATACCCGAAAGTTCGAGTTTGAAGAGCGGCTCAAAAATGATGAGACTTGTTGTGAAGCCTTTCACGAAACGCCAAAACGAGCTGTGTGACAACCTCTTGGCAGGATTGATGTTCTCCCGTGACGACAAGTTGCTCATTCATGTCACTGTACGACTTGTAAAGCGCAGGCTTTGCCTATAGTAATCAGCGCTGTTGCAGCGAACTGTTTTAATATTCCTCTCTCCTTCTGACACATTTCCTTTGTTTTCTGATAAAAATCATTATGGCATTTCCACACCACAGAGCAACATCCAGCGTGAGTTTTGATTGTCCCCGGTCCAAAGATCAGGTTTCCTGCGGTGTGTAAGACTATATAACTCGAATAATAAGTGTTCAACATGGCAGTACAAATAGTTTCCCACCTATTGTTTGACGATTTAAGTATTTCCTTACCATTATTGTCTTTGTTTAACTTGTTTAATTCGGACAGCACAAAAGTGTTTTGTTTTCATATCACCTGAAGGGACTCTTTGGACAAAACAAAACTTGCCGATTTATTAAAAAAAACGCATCATAACGCATCACTCATGCTACATTTTGCTTTATGAGAGCTTGTCGCAGTTTTGTAGCATTGGCGCTCCATACTCGAGAGCAAACACTGGAGGTTTTGTTTTCAGTGAGTCTGTTTTCCTGTTTATATTCATTTTTGCCCGTTGCTTCCCGGTCTCTTTTCATTATGCAGAGATGTTCTGGACCGAGAACATGTCCATCATACTGTACGTGGCAGCAGGGATCATCATTGTCGTGTGTGTTTTCGTTCACGGGTGTCTCTTCTACCGTAGATGGTGAGTACAAAATAATTATAGTCTACCGTCTGCAAACATTGTTTTCATTTACATGATGTGAGCATCAAATTAAAACCAGGTCTGGACTTGAAGCCTTGATAGTGGAGGAATCATATTCATGTACACTGTAGTCTACTATTTGCGCCATTAAGTGGTACTCAGATCCGATCGTGAATTTTCGACACTGCGCCGCATCACAAACCAAACGCTGTGAAATGATTGGAGGGTTGATGTTGGTAATGTGGGCCTTGATAACTGCGCCAAGCTGTGCGTCATGATCGAGCCATCAAAGCAAAACCATCAGTGAAAACAAAGTGACAGAAAGGTGTACTCACACTCGAAATCGCTGTCTCTGACGGCTGTTTGAAACAATCGGCACATTTTATGCTGCAGCACTAACTAAAGAACGATCCTCAAAGGGACAATGTTCATACGATTGGGAAGACACTCTTCCCCAGTCTGATTATCAGAGTTATTTTGCATGATCTTACAAACTAAATTTACATCAAATGAAAGCTATGATGACAGAAACGTCAATAGTTATAAGGCGTTAAACATGTGTATTAAGAAAGGAAATCTCAAGCTTAACTGAAATCAATCAGTGCATCTCTGAGAAGGTTACCTGTACTTTCGAGGTTTTGAGGCCTCCTTTGAGGCAGACCTTTAATTGAAATTTCTTTTCGATTCTAAACCGGTCTTTGCACGCCAATTTTCTTTTGGCACATGGAAGCCCCCAGACCACAAAATTTCCGACATGTACTGGAATGTGGTCAAGAAACATTACTGATTTGAACAGATGCCCAAGCTGGTACGTGACCTATTAGGGGCAGGGATAGCCTCGACTGCCTCAGCATTTACAGCTTTGACGAGAAAACGAAGTTCGCCGAGGCAAATACACACTGACACAACATTAGCTTCCACAACCACAGTCAGACTTCGTTAGGCTTTTTTTTTAAATAAATTTCATTTTGAAGAGGAGCCTTCTTTGCAACCAACCTTTATACTGCCACAAACACGTCTGCATTCAGCAGCATCGAAACTCCGAGATCGGCATTCTGACAACAATCAGTCACACGAATAACGATTGCAACACGAAGCAAAAAGTCACGCTTATAGGGTATCTAAAACGACCGGATTCCAATTGTCATGACAAACTCCAACATATAACTGTGTAATTCTGACGGTGAGAGTAACAGACTCCTTTTTGACTCTAGTCAGGAAAACTTTTCAGAGGAATCAAATTCTTGGCAAACAGGGCAACGTTTCAGAAGCTCCTTGGAATAGGCATTTCGAGTGTGAAAGATAAAGCTTTATATTACACTGATCTGTGCCAACAAGAATGACCTTTAATGTTGATATGATATCTCACTGGAGTAATATCAAAAGCTGTAGTTGCTAAGAGAAACTGAGAGTGAAAATCTTATCCTTTCTCCACTTGCCAGCGGTGAATACACCAATGCAAGCTGGATTTTTACTTCACATTTTCAAAGCGACTCCGACACCTCTAATTTTATTTTGAGGTTGAGAGCGACACACGGAAATAGGTCCCTGTAAGAAGTCTGAGCTCAACGAAGAAAAATTTGATCCAAAGTCTACTGTGCATTTGCTAGGCAAGCTATCTTCAAAAGGCCAAATGGCGCATTTCTCAAACAGGGCTGGTCGGGGTGGCAAAACCAAGACTTTGTGAATGGATGGTTTCAGTTCAGTGTTTGGTATTATCGATTTTCTCACCCAGCTGTGTGTGTTATTACCCCACCCTGAAAAATGTACTTAGGCCTATGTGTTAAAATAAATGGTCCCATTTTCCCTTTAGAAATATTGTAAAAATGAGCACGGTAAGGTGAAATCGGGAAAGGGTTAATTAGTTAACCCAACATTCTGGCAAGTTCTGTTCCTGGCGTCTGCTGCTTGCACGACTTTTGATATTTGTTTAAGAAATGTTTGTAGGTGTATGAGACCTGTGGTTGTTTCATGCATTACAAACGCACAGATACCAGCTTCTTTCGTCGAAGTTTGTATGCCTGTGATGTTTAATAATTAGGTCATTAAGCCTTCCTACAATGTTCTTTATAATGTCCGTGTTATTGCTGTTGCTGCTGTGTCTTTTTTGCTCGAGCTGTTGTCTGAATTGACAGCTCTCGTAACTGAAACTACGGTGTCTGTTGTTGGCCCCTAATCAAGCAAGAAACAGCAGGAAATTCACTGAATCCGGTCCACTCCCAAAGCGCATAAACATTTTGACGATAATCACATTTGGAGACTTTTTTCTTCTTTTTTTTGCACGAATTCCTTTCGAGGGAGGTTAAGCGTGTAAGCAATTTCCATAGGATCTGTCAATGTAGGTGTCTCAAACTCGTCGATTAATTGAGGAAGAGGTAAAATTCACTCGCAGCCGACTTCCCCACAATCCTTGTAAATTAAAGTGGGGAATGGGCGTGCCCGTTAACCAAGACAATCACCATCAAACATTGACTGAAGAGGAGCAGTTTTACCAGCCCTGGTTGCACCCCCCCCCCCCAGTTGTGGCACAGATCACACCATCAGGGGTACAGTTCGTTATCATCGCGACTGAAGTTCACAAACATTCAACAGATTTTTAGATGTGCACGAATATGTTTAGGGAAAGTTGAATATTACGCTGAAATTTCTCATTTTTAATTACTTCTTCCATGAGGTGCAGGCCCGGTAAAACACGTGGCCCTGAGAAAAATTTATTTGTTAGGTGGATTTATAGGCTTTGGGAAGCCGCTAAACAACCTGAAATGTTTCTCTTTCAGGAGACAAAAACGCAGGCAGTCTACTAGAGCGGATGATAAGGAGACGGGAGGGAGTTCCTTGAAAATATTCGACAGGGGCAAGGCCAATGCCAACTCCCGCGAGAACTCTGTCGCCAGTTGTGCCAACAGCGATCAGACTGAGCGGTTCAGATCTGACTCTGTCCAGCTCCAGCAGGATGCGCGGTCGTCCAGTAAGTCACTCCTGGACCAGGACCTCGACGAGAGACGTCGATCGTCCTCCATCCGGATCAAGGTGCTCCCGCCCCAGGACATCGCCCGGAGCTTCAGCGGGCCGATCCAGTCCAACGAGCAGCCGGACGACAACGTCTTGTCGGACGATCCCGGGTGGGGATCAACTCCTCAGACGTCGAAAGACGCCCTTGCCGCCCAACTAGCAGAGCTTGTGTCCAAGAGAGTCCCGAAGATGCCTGCCGATGGTCGATCAGGGGGAGTTACCTCGAATGACATGAACTCGTCTTGTTATGAGCAGATCAAAAACAGCAAAGGCACAGCCGGTATGCTGCCGAAGGCAGTCGATATCGCCAGGTCGAAGAGCGACAGCAACAGAAGTGTTCCAGCCATTCTGGAGACTCAGGCGAGCGAAGATGCCTACGACTGTGTGAAGCCTAGAGATTTGATAACACGTGCGAGTGTTTCCCGGCGGGACGAGGACGGCCTCGAGTCGGATAGACTGAAACGTAGGTCCTACAGTTTTGATCATGTTCCTGTGTTTGAGACTTCCGTTGACCTAACTTCTCACCGCCAAATACTAGCCCCAGCTCGCAAACGTAGTGCAAGCGAGAGCCATCGATTAACAGAACCGCGGCCAGAAACCGCCTCTAAGAAATCTGTGCCATTACCGGCTTCTCCGATTCCGTTGGATCCGAAAGTGGAGCCTGTGTACCACATCCTGGAGCCTGAGCCGGACGCCTTCTCGAGGAACGATCGGAGATACCGCACACTCCCGCCCATCAAGACGGCATCAACGCAGCCTTCCAGCCCAACCAAGAGGAAGTTCACGTTAAACACGCTCCTCTCGCGAAAGAGTAGGACAGCGAGGAAGAAAGAGAGATGCAAGCAGCAAACGCCGCCGAGCTCCCCCGCGAGGAGCACCAGCGATGAATCCCAGCCCACCATCTACGAAGATCCCGGAGGAGCACAGGGGTCTGACCCGACTGCCCTGGACGAATACTCCGTACTGAATCTCGACAACCAGCGGGATGTCAACGAGGAACGTGGAAAAAGACCCGACGGCGGAAGTCCCTCCAAGAGTAAGCCAAGCTTCTTGAGATCATTCCACAAAAGTTGGAACAAAAACAAAACTACCCCAAAGCAAACCTCTGCAAAACGGCAGATAAGGGATGTCTCTGACGACACGAATGACGCCTACGAGGTGCTTGAAATACCCAAGGATGATTCTAAAGACGTAGATGGGCCCGTATACGACACTGTTAAGACAGATCATTCAGAAAGAACTCAACTTGATCCAAAGAACTTGCCAGTTATAGGAAAGACCTCCACCGGGGCTCAGCTGAGGAAGTTCCAAGCGGGCTCTGCACGGAGGGAGCTCCCCAGCACGCCGCATGACTATGATGTAATAGAGCGGGTTGGATTCCCATCACGAGGGGGTGTTTCTAGGTCCAAATCTGCACGCCCTAACGTCAGAGGGGGCTCAAGTCCCACTGTGGTGAACCGCTCTCCCAAGGCGCCGGCAACCTACGACAAGCTCGGTCCGGTGATATCGGATCGACTTATCTTCACCGAGTCGGCGCGAACGAGGCGTGGCTCGTCACCCGCGACGGCAAAACGCGACACGGATCAAGTCTACGATCTGCTGAATCCGGCGACGATGGTTCGACAAAATTCAACGGGTCCACTCGAACGTCAGCAGCCCCGGCCGAAAGTCGGCCCCAAGCCACAGTCGCTCCGCGGACTCCCCACAAATTCAGAGTACGATCTCCTCAATGCAAAACCGTTGCACCGTTGTGGCTCGTTCAGTGCAGCCCGCGGGCCGAAGACAGCCTCTCGGCAGCTGCTGAGAGCCAATTCTCTGGGCAAACTGCGGAAAGTCAGCCCCGAGGTTTCACCCAAGCCATCAAGGAATCGGCAGTCGGAAACGATCAACCAGTCGCATTTCAAGACTGCGGTATCTCTTAAACCCGGTGTACCGGAAGAAGCAAAACCAGCTGAACCCGTGTACTTCTGTTTAGACCCAAACACACCCCCAGAACCAATATGAGGCATTATTACCTCGTACCCGAGAAAAAGATGCGAAATTCTGAGCGACTGACAAACGCACCAGGAACGAAAAACACAATTAACGTACCGTTTGTAAACTTTGTGCGATAACTTGACCTTGTTAAATTCCGGAAGAAATAGTTATCTGGAATAACACTGGCATCAAAATTCATTGGTTAACGCTGGTAGGCAGCAAATTTCGAGAAATGTGATATTTCGGTCAAATTGTAAACAACCTAATTTCGCAAACCCCTTGTATCTGTGTGCATGCTTGTTCAGCGCACCTTATCGTCCCTCAAGCAATGCGGAGACTCGAGGTGTCCACCCGAATAAGGAATAAAAGAGACAGCACGACTTGCTTAGGGGAACACTCGAGAATTTTGCCTGGTCGAATGAATAAAAGAATGGACTGTTGTGGATATGTATATTATGCAGACCTCATTCAACACTAGGACGCTATAATTATTTAAACAAGGAGTATGACGTGGCATGTACATAGCCGCGTTTGGGATTTCTCGTTCAGCTACTTTCCTCCCTGCTTTTAGTCACTAACTATGCCAATGACTAGACAGCTTACTTAACAAAAAAACTGCGCTTAATATTTAGACTTTGGCACATTGCATTAAACAGCCGCCACATTTAAACTCCACATTCGTTTAATCTCCAAAGAGGAGAAGGCCAGCCTTGTCAGAACTGCGCTCTATACATCACTACTTCTAGGTAGCAACTGCGAGCCCAATAGACGCGAAATGACCGAAAGTGATACCCAAGCCATAACTGTGAGATACGACAGTCAAACCAACCACTAGGGCAACACTGATCGATGCACAATAGGTCTGCAGTTTTCCTGATATGGTTTCACGGGTGACACCATCTAAGGTCTTGAAGCCAATAACTTTCACAATTTGAAGAGGAAATACGGGGAGCCTTTGTCAGGCTTCACTTGCGATGCTTTCAGTGTTTTTAATATTTGCATTCATAAAGGTAAAGAGATTTGACAGCAGATTATGTAAATGCAATGTTAAACAGATTTCTAATGTTCATGTTGCCAACTTAGGATAAAAATCTGACAGACAGGACTAGATCGGAATGAATTACGTCACGAACATTAAAGGTGACAGCGGTAACGTTTCTTAAGACAAAGGTTAAACCAATTAAAGCTTAAGAAACAATACAAGTGATTTGCAATACAATGCGCCACCAAGAGGTTGCCATGAAATGGTCATTTGCGCATTGCGTTGTGGGAAATTGTCGACAAATTCTATTCGCCCGAACTCGAATTATCCCATTTTTTTTTCATTTTGTCATGGAAGAAGATTGTAAGTATACTTTGAGTAGCATTTTAAATTAATAGTTCTTCTTTCTGTTGTATGAAATGCCCCAATCTATTAAACATTTCTTAAGTGTTCCGCTGACATGCGTTGAATGCAAATTGCGGCAAGGCGGTCATACCTTTGTCGGAGGTAAACTTGCGGCAACCTCTCAGTGATGCAATGTATTGCGAATCGCCCCAACTGAAATTCTAAGGCCGATTATGTAACTTAAGCAGAACTATTTCTAACACATGGTTATTCAGAAATATGAAATCACCAATGTAAAGCGTGGATTTGACATTTGTAACTAATGCAAAGGTATACCCTTGAAGCAGTGCTGTTTTAATCCCTGAAAAAAAGCACCTTGTGAAGTTTGAGAACATCACTGTTATGTTAATGAGCTGTTTTCGTCAAATCAGTTTCTTTTTCCAGTACTTTATCAATCAACGACTGTTTGATGTGTCGATTGTTCCCAACATTGGTTTTTAACAAAGCCGCACGGCAGGTGAAAAAGTATATGTTTTTGTAAACACGAGGAAGGAACATTTACTGTTTGACAAGTAAAGGATAAGTGTGAAATTTTCGTTTCAGTTCAGTTCAGTTGTTGATTGCAATGGGGATATGGAAATAATAACGGGATTAAAAACTTTCGCTTTGCAATCGCTATATTTTTCTCTCCTTGAAAGTCTGTATTATACTTATGTTTCCCAGGAAAAGTTTACACACTGATCTTTTCCTAATATAAATACAATAGCTCACCATATAATAAACATTCGGTACAATTGGTCGGTATATTGTAACACCAATGCCCATTCAGTTTCTAACGTAAAGAATGGATCATTTGAGTCCAAAAGTCCAACCGGAACAGTTCCCGGTTATTCTTTGGAGGGAAGTGAGAGGTGACGGCAGGCCACTTCAGTTCACGGTCACGACGAGTTCATCCTAGTCGGTTCCCCATTCGACAATTGACAAGTTATGAGAGACGATATATGAATGGCCCAACATGAGCACAGCAACAGATGTAAAAATCAACCCAATATTACATTGCCCTAAACAATTTTTTTTTAATAAGCTTCATGAAAGTTGTTGCCTGACATCCGAGGGTGACATTTCGCCCACATTGGCGCGTTCCTCACGCACAAAGCAAGTACGTACGTGTGTACACTCATTTGGAAACTAGCGGACTTCCGGAACTTGTGATTTTCTTTTCCACATTGAAAACTTTGCCCCTCTTATGCAAACGCAGAAACGTATCTGCTAGAAAGTATAGACTGAGCCGGAACAATAGATGGCGCCGTGCTCTCTTCTTGTAACAGCCAAGTCGGACAGACAAGCAGTTTGTATGTTATGACACAACTGTCAGGGCATTCACCTGGATACTTTCGTATGGGAAAATGGTTCTTGAGAGGAGACTACACCTCATGCCTCGTAAAAGCTTGAGCTTCCCCTATTGAAATATCAGACTTCTCTTTAAAAAAAATATTCCTCTAGAGCCAAGACTACAGCCTTTATTCGAGTCGGATTTTCCTAGCATTCTGTTGCTGTCCGGCATGGCTTGCGCACTACCGTCATCATCTCCGTTCTGGCCGCACGCAATGGTTCGATTGCGTGCAACGTGACGTGCATAGGTGACACACATCCCTGACATCTTCACGTGTACGTCGGGGGCGTCCGACCTACATATTCTTTTTTTTAATCATAAACCTAACTCTGTGTTTTCGTGGTGGAGGTACTTGTCACACAGTCTGAACCAGCTCAGAGAAGTATAAAAAAGAGTATATTCTTCCACTACTGACGTTTTGGAGTACGTGTATGTCATTAATTTAAAATATGTTGAAATGAACACAAGTGGCTCTTTCGACCTCTGTTTTTTTTCCGCTTGAGGAATTAAGTTCATTATTGAACTTTACAGAACGGGAAACGAGAGACTGACGGAAGGCTTGGAAATCTGCGTTAAAAATTAGTTCAGGCACTTCTGCGTTCCGCCCATGAATCAGTTTTATTTAACGGCGACCATCCGTTTTCAAGCCCATTTCTTGCCAAGGTTGATGACACTGCTCCTATATGAGTTACACCATGGCTTTGTTTACGTTTCCATGTGTCGTGCGGCGCCCTCATGTCGGTCGGGCAGTCTGTGCCGTAAACGTGTTGAGGCGTCGTTGACGTTTCTCATTTAAACGGAGTCGCCTCCATCCCAACGAGCAGCCCTCTTCCACTTCAGTCGGTCTATAGGGCCCATGTCTACACCATTCTCCGGCGTTTCGTATCCTCTCTGACACGGTCCATCCATCTGTATACTTGTCTTCTTCCCCTCTTACGTCTCCAAGGTAATTCCAATTCTTTTACTCTCCTGTATGAAATGACCCTCCTCCGTCTTCCGTTTCACAAGTCCAAACTACCTCAGCCTTGCTTCTCTTGCTTTCTCTTCAATCCCAATCCTTCTTGCAATTTCATTGTTGCTCTTGTTTCGTTAATTCAAGCGTCTATAATACACCACAACATACTCATCTCTGCTCTCATAAGCAGACATTATCTTCCCTCAAACCAGACACATCACAACGCAGATATCTATTGTTATATCAATTATAATTGATGGTTTTTAATATAGAATGGGGAAGTAAAACCTTTCGAATGTTAACCATTGTGACAGCATCTATGAACATCGAAGCAATGTGAAAGCAAGGGCCAACACACCAAACCAGTCGCACACAACTTGTAAGGTGTAGCCTAACTGGCTCATAGCAACTACAGTCTGATTGTTATATTGCAAATCTGAGACTTTCAGATCAAGTACATCCCTATTGGTTGCAGTCACGTGACACGTGAGTGACACTGTTGAGAAAAGGCTTCAAGAAAATATTTAGAAACAAAAACCCAGTCCAACCATTGCGTGTTTGCGGTTATTTCTGGGAATCAGACTTGGCAGAAGTGCCAGTTTTAACTAATCCGGATACAAGCTCTCACCAGAAAGGTTAGATACGCCGCTCACAGGGTTCCTATAGGCCTACACAACAAACAATGTATATGAATAATCGATAGCTTGTCAGACACCACAAATCCCAGTAGGCCTTAATGCTGCCTTATATCAGAATCGATGAGTAGTAGCAAACCCGTCATCGGTTCAAAAGAACCATGTTGGTCGGGATATTCATCTTGCTGATAGCGATGCGACCGTAGGCTAATGTAAGCATCTCCTAGTCGTTCGTGAACCATCGGAGTTCATTTCCGACTAAAGAAGCCTCTGTTGCTGAAAAAAATAGCGCCCTCTCTTGGTCCAGCTCGAGGCCCGTTTAAAACTTAATAGTCAGATACTGGTATTTGGCCGGTACCAGTATATCAGGATGGATGGAGTACAAAATGACCCGGGAGATCGGCCCTAACGTTCGACACTCGCTATTTCAAGACTGCACCTCCTTGGCATGTTTGTGGCTCATGTTATCTGTTCTACTTCCTTCCGCTCCCAAGAGGTCACTTGGGTACGAGGGTGCCAACGCATCCCACCAAGGCATGGCAAGAACAACAACGAACCTTGGACAAACGGGAATCAGCCAGTCTGCCAAACCTCATTCTTAGCATTTGACATTTTCATTGGACTTAAAAGGAACCATCCACTCCATCTAGTTGTACGTGTATTCTCGTTTTATTCCCTCTAATCAAAGAGACTTCCCTCACTGCAAAACTGACGTCAAGTCGGTGACTATAGAATAACGCCGAAAAAAAAACCACTTGTTGTTGATTTGTTTTAATGGCGCTTCCAGCCACCCAGGCTATTTGTGCCGATAACTATACGTTTATTCATTGCCTTTATTAATCAGCATCACTTTACGGGGGTTAGGAAGAAGGTCCCGTTTTAGAGGAAGGAGGAAACCGGAGTACCCGGAGAAAACCTGCGAGAGCGAGTATGGACTGGAAACCAAATGCACTTAAAGCCTGGACCAAGCCGGACTTGAACCTGGGGCTCATTGGTTAAAAAGGAGGGAAGAACCGCTACGCTAACCCGCTCCCCCCCCCAAAAAAACACTTCTTAAAGAAGGAACGTTTATCTTTTCTGCTGAATAGCCACAGTTGGTGCAAAGCTGACACCTTTTAATCGGTTTCGACTAGAATTATGTATTGCGCAGGAAGCAACTCGCGCATACTTGTTTCCTCGAAATGAGGCTGCATCCAAATCTCTTGTCAATAGCTAGGTCTAGGTCTTCGCTCCAATGGAAATGCCTGGAGACGCGCAGACAATAGACCTAGCCGTAGATCTGGAAGCCCGTTTCGGACACGGCCTGAGTCAGTTTGGTGTTCCAACAGCGCTTACCCAGTCCGAGGCTATCCGGGAACAGCTACGCGCTTTTGAAATAGCGAACTTGCAGCAGTGACAGACTTTATGACGCTGTTGGCAGCAGACATATCAGTCTCTTTTCAACACAGAAATATAAACGCATAGACCACCACTCTCGCGCGTCTAACCGTGATTCTGAAAAGTACGGGCAAACAATGGGCGAAACGGCGACAGGCATGCCGTTCAACGCGCATTACGCGCAACGCACTTACATTGCCGGCATTTGTTTACATGAGCTTCCAAATACGTTCCCTTTTTTTTCTTTTTTTTTTTTTTGCTCTTCGGTACTGCTATATCTTCTCTTCAATTGTTGCAACGGCATTGTTTGGAATTTACGTAACTAGAGGAACATTTTACAATCGAAAAAATGCATGGCTTCATAGCATTTAAAGGCTGGAATTCCTCAAGTGTGCGTACATTCCCTATGGGTGAATTGCCCATAGTTTTGATTTTAATCAGGCACCGCGTTGATCACGACATGTTCGTGCGGTTTTGAATGTGATCTGGCGGTCTGTGCCTTTTTATGTCTTTTTGCGGCATTGCGCATGCTCTTAACATCCCGCGCATGCACAGAACTGGTACTGAGGACCGGAATGTTTGTCGCCAAGTGTCTCTTAGTCTGCCATTGCATACAACACGGTTCTCCGGCTCAGTATTTCATAAAGGCAACGTCATTCGAGAACAAAGCACGCTCGCAAGTCGGCGTATGGGTGCGGTGACAGTAAGTTGATCTTCATTATAGTAGAGATCAATGACAGCACCACGGATATTTTTCTTCTGATACAGTGCACAGACAGCCGCGTCAGCACCATAGATTGTATAGCGCCGTGCAGCGGCGCTATACAATCTTTGGTCAGCACTCCATTTTGGGGCATGCGCTGTTGGGATACTGAAACGTCTCGTTAACGCATAATGCACACGTATGCACGTACGCGCGTATGCGTCTAGCGTTGTCAAGAATGGAACAGCATAGAATCATACCGCGCTGTGCAGCAAAGATAATAGTATAGCGCCACGCAATGCAGGGTTGCTGGGTCAACGGTTCACATTCACTAATTCACAACAGAGACATCTCTTGGTAAAAGGCAGGTAAGTTATTCATTTTTTTTTATCAAGCCATTCTATCTTGCATACCTCCAAACATGGACAATGATCATGGCAAAGGTAAGACCTCATTTCTCTATCTCCACGTCTCAACCTTCCAATTTTAATCACAGCTCCAACGTACTTTCGCTTTTCAATAGCAATACTGTTCAGCATAGCTCTGTAATTTTGAATGATAGCGACTAGATTTTTCAGTGACGGATGAAGAATTGAATTGGAAAAGACTGAGATTTTGTATCTCTTTTATTCAATTTTCCCATTTTCGCCTCAAAGACGGGCCGTATAAAGAGATTATTTTAAACCTGGGAAGGAAAAGACACGAGAAAGGCACTGAGAAGTGAGACATGCATTTACAGTGTCAAAACCGAAGTTGCCTTTTGTTTTCGAGACAGTTGATGCAACAACTTGGACTTTTCTGTCATCTGATTTTACCGGATCATTGGCCTTGGTGGAGGCGTTCGACGATACCATGTGATGAACGCCAGACGGTCGTTAGCACTAGCGCCGGCAATCGACTATCAAAATGTAGGCCTAGACCGGGTTCCTCATGAGGCTAACCGGAAAGCGAAGTGAATTTGACGTCATGAAACATTTGTAGCTAAACTCGCTTGAGTTGAAACGAGTTCAATTATGTGAACTATCAGCACGAGGATCTGATCTGATGTCCCAATGTCGCGGTCGTGTCCGCTGTAGCACCAACCTTTATTGTGGGGCGCCTTAACCAAGGCAATAGCGCATGAAAGGGAAATAGGAAAGGACCCTTTTGGAACCTACTTTTATGCCAGCAGTTTGCTTTCCAGTTGAATAGGTTTAACAAATTATCGGGACACCTCTTGCTGACCCTAGCATGTTCACAACTCAGTGGATCATCGCTGTGTCCGTGGCCACCAGCGTTTCCTTCTGCGTGCTGATCATCGGCCTCTGCATCCTCATCTGGGCCCTGAGGACCCCGGCGCGGCAGGTTGGCGACTCGCGTGTCGATCGGAAACCAGCGAAGGGAACTGGTAACGCTGCAACTTCAGCCAATGAGAAGGCAGAGAGCGGGCGGCTACCGGATGTTGCAACTTAAACCGGAGAGGAACGCCTCCAATTAACAATTGCCGATCATGTTCTGTCACTACGAATAATGAATAAAGACAAACAGATCCATTTCCTCGTCGGCCGGGCCAGACTGACATTGGCACATGAGCTATTTAAGCTTTTGGTAAGGTATTAACTCCGACCCGTTGTGTCCATTTGAGCAGGGAGGGGGTTAACGCAGAACTTTCCCCAACCAATTCTTCACCTCCATTAAAAGAACTATTCCTGGAGAAAAAGACGACTGAGAGACTGCAGCCTTTGCACTGGAATTCGGGGCAAATTTTGGGTCCACAAAGCACCGCCCCCAACGCTTCGCAATCACACTTGGGCTCTGGATTTGGGAATTTCACCCTCTAGACAAATTCGATAGAGGCCTATGCCTATAACTAAAAGCATGATGGAATAAAAATGCGAATCACCAGTCAAACATGCTCGAGGCTTAGTGGAGGTTGAGGTGGCTGGTTTCCAACCGGCGCGGAAGTGGGAGCTCCGTGCGGACTACGAGCGTGACTGATCTCAACAGGTTTTTCCTTCCACTTTTAAATCTCAAATTTCCTTTACCGTCTCCTCTCAGTTCAAAGCTGAGTCCCCGAGGAGAACAGCGCTAAAGTATTGACCCAAGCTACAAGAAACTCTGCCCACGGAAGCAGATTTTGGTATGGGCCTACACATAAGACGAATCTGCGGGTTGCTATCTTGTTTTTAAATTTACTTTAGTACCCCCCCCATTTTCCCCCTTTTTTGTCTGAGCGAGGGTGGAGGGGTTCGACATTCACCCCCACCCCCGGATCCGTGCCTGACTAATTGTTATCCAAGGCCTTTGCAAGTACTTTGTTTACGGTCTGGCAGCAAAATGTTCTCAAGAATTTAGGATTCTCAGCTTACAAATTACACATTACTATAAAACATGCAGTTCAACATTTCCAAGAAGTGTCAAAGCAATGGATGGTGGTCACAAGCATCGAACGCTTAAGTTGGACAGTCTCGAAACAAGTATTTTGTATAGTAAAATCCATGATCAGTATTCCCGGAATTATAAAGATATGAAATCAAATGACTTCTTTATTACCATGTTTTTGTTACCTTTAAAGAGCATCTCTATAAGGAAAACACGTCATTTGTATTCAAAGCTCAACTATAGCAAGCTAAAAAGGGCTTTGTTTCTGTTCATGCCAAGATGCAAATTCTGAATGCAGATTGCGTCATTCCGAGAAAACAGTGAAAATGAGGGAAACCCTCGCCCTGTGTTCGTTGTGGATAAACCCTGTGCATGCCAAACAATGCACGTAGCCATTCCTTCCCCTCGGTTTCTCCTTAGCAGGAGCAGATGACACTGTATTCGATTTGGATGCATCCATATTTATTTGAACGGAGAAAGTCAGAGAAAACGTGTTTTCCTCAGAGGTGCTCTTTCAATTGGTATATAATATTATATCGGATAGTACGGTACGTTGAAGAATTTTACCCTTGGTCTAACTTGGCAAATCCCTCAAGAAAGAAGGAGGGGCGAGAGTAAGTGCCCATGCTGCCAACCGCAAAAACAGTTCCTTGGGTTTAAATTTACTTCAGAGAGCCGGTGCCAGGTATATTTTTCTCTTAAAGGTGTATGGTCGGAACCACTTGTAGCCCCTGTGTAAGGGGTGCAAAGATGTATCTCTTTCCTTCCCACCTTAAATGGAAATTAAAGGTGAAGTTGTCCTTACGTCTTTAGCAAAGGACACGCGTCATTTGAGCGTACCCTGGACAAAATGTCGATTTTTCTACGTGCATACAGCGCGTTTGCGAGCCTATCACTGCTTCAAATCTAGACGAATGCTGTCGAGACCCTTGTATTTCTTGACAATGACTCAGTCGTCTATAAATGGCAGCGGGAGACAAATATTCTTCTTGTGGGTACAGAGGAGCTATATTTGGACCCAAATTTGCCGATACATCCACCGCAGAGCCATCAGTTTCAGATGGATTTTTCCCCTCACATGTGGCTCCAACAAACAGAAACTCGACCAGTGCTGAAAGACTAGCGTAAATGAACTTATGTTGACCTCAAAGCAGCTTGCTTTAATATCACTTTCATTTACATTTCTCTAACAAATTGGGTGCCATAAATGTGGCATGTGGCTTTAATTAACCATTGTTAAACCTTTACAGTTAATAGTTAAATTCAACTATTTGCATAGTTAAATGTGCCTGTTTGGTATTTAGGTTGCCCATGTGCATTGACTATCGATTTCATTTTGATGTAATTATTTAAAAATGTGATACTGGTTTTTGGTTGGATGTGATTTTATGTTTTTCCTTTTAAAACAAAATCGCCTTCCCCGATGCAATCACAAAACACCGCAGCGAAGCATGGACTCTATTAATTCCAGAACCCACTTGCTAAAACGAACTCAAATTTAAATTACGGTCAGGTACCAGATTGTTTCTCATTCCCAGACGTATCTAAGGTTTGGTTTGTTTGTTTTTTTGTTTGTTTGTTTGTTTGTTTGTTTGTTTGTTTGTTTGTTTGTTTGTTTGTTTTTTTCAACGTATGCAAATGATTTAAATCCGAGGTGAGAGCGGGTAGCTGTGGGGGCGCACTGCACCACCCCATGGAGACGAGGTTGTCAGTCGAGAGCACGAAAATTATGGTCTCACCGGCCAATGTCAACAAGGAAACAGTGCTGTCACAACTGACCGCCCAGTCTTACGTCACGGGGTAATTTATTCAGCGTGTCCCAGGGGAGGTTAACAAGGAGCATTAACGCAAATGCGTAATCATTCAGAAGTCTGACGTGCAAGCTATAATGATGACATAGTTATCTTATAATAAGTTGTCAAGTTTCGTAATTGCATCCTCAAACATAAAAAAAAACTTGCACTGGATTTTTCTTTGTCACGAAAGGTACGCTGTAAACATAGACCTATGTTTGTTTTAATAATGTGGAAATTAGAATAACGATTGAACAAGGATATGCCAGGAAAGTGTTGCTTCAAAGAGCAAGAAATCACAAGATATGCCCAACTCAAAGCATCTCTTCCTCAGCAGTGGTGCGAACAGACAGTTACTTCCTTGAGCAAGAGCGGACTGGAGCTTCATTCATAAACGACGTTTGGAAGCTGCGTACGGAGGATGTCCCAAGAGAAAGCCCTATTGTGCAAGACGTTGCTGTTTTTACAATGACCGTTCCCTTTAGACAAAAGCAATATGTGATAGATTTATATACACGGTTATCGAGGACGAAACACGCCCGATTTCCGTGTTCTCGAGAAAGGGACTTTGATGGAATCTGGCATGTGGACTCAACGTCTTGGTTTCAAATCTACTTGATGTGCATCATTTCCCAGTAAAAACCACGAAACTACTTCGATGGGCTAGACAATATACAGACAAGCTGTTATCTTCCTCTCAGATTACGTATACCGATGTCTCCGTTACTAACGCACGTATTCAGTCTCCAGACCAACACTGATTTTCTTTGAATTCACACCCTCTTTTACTCTCTAATTCCAGGCTCCACGCCTAAAATCACTTGGCAATGACACCCACAATGCCCGCATTTGAATTGTACGTTCTCGTCCTTATAACTAATGACGCTACATGACAAAGTCTGCACTTTGGCTGTTGTAACGTCCTGTTTAATACACCCCTGATCCCATGGCGCATGGAGTTGGTTCAGTGGAATTTACAAGTAGGCGATATGTCAGTTGGCGTTCTCCGCGAGAAGTCGTTCGCTATTCTTGCCCATCTGGTATGGAGTGGTTTTCAGGACCAAGTGAGTGATTATCCTGTGATCTTGAGCCTCAACGACCGAGGAAACTGCTGCGGTTATACGCTGACGTCCATCTCGGCATATGATGCTGTTTATATCGCCAACTATTATTAGCCTAATGAGTGGGATCACTATCAGTCGACGTAGGAAAGTTGAAGGCATTGTGTGGAAAATAGGTACTCGGGGGTAGCCCATTAAAGTTTATCATCCACCTACGTCAATATTTGTAACCGTAATGACAGATTTCCTAGCATGGGTGTACACATAGTGTTCAGTTTGTGGCATTTATTTAGCATGAAGGTGAGATGATTCAATAGTGCAGGTCTTCATAATGAGCACGTACAGCGTGTAGAGAGTCCGGTGTTCAAACTTCGCTGACCTCGCCACATCCCGTGTTGGTTAAGCATAGCGGAAAGGAGATACAATCAGCATATGGTGCGAAAGAAGAAGAAAAAAAATAAACATGGCGGTTAGGCGCACGTGGGCATGCGCAGTGATAACACGGAAGCTTCCATGACACGTCGAGTGCCGACGTCAGGCGGAGACCACTTCAAGTCGACGTGGAAACTACCCGCGATAGGTTGTCGGGGGAAAGCACCTTTCAGGGATGGATTTAAGGACGACATCGTCGCCTTTAGTGATGCGCCATAGTACAGAGAGACGTTCACTCCAACTCTTTGTATCTCTGCTTGTATGTTGGGCCAGTCGGATAACTTTTGCTGCAGCTGGTAAGTGTGTCTATAAAAGTCTTTGTTTCACATGATGATGCACAACAAACACGCTAGCATCGTGTCACCGGCGTTTGTTTCCGCAGCTATAGGAATATTTCAGTGAAAAAAAAAATAATGGCAGATACTTATAGGCCTAGTTCCAAAGGATAGTTCAATGTCATGAGTGTGCCAGTGTGTTTGCTGGTGTCTGACCCTTCAGAGCAGGGTGGCAAATACCTAAAAGGGCCTTTTAATGTTGTTTTTATGTCCAACGATGGACAAAGGAAGTTTGTAGATAACTGTCTTTATTCATTGTACACGTAGTGGATAGCCCCTCGTGCAATCAGTGGTACTGAATTAACGACAGAAACAACTACAAGACGAATACTGAATATTGATGCCAATTGTCTATGTCAAGATCCAATCAGCTGGTGACACGTCCATGCCCGACTTCCAGTGATTTCAGTTTCTGTCATTTGATCTTAAAACAGATTCGATTCGCTATAACTTGCCGATGCTGTCTCCCATAACTGTGCGACGTATCGTCCGTTTGGCAATCATTCACATGGTGTCCTGTACTCGTCCAATTGGGTTGTACTGTGACAATGCAATCAAGGAAAGAAACAATTCATAGACAATACAAAAACAAAAGCTTCATTCCATTCACCCAGAGAGGAGATCGTTGAAAAATAACCCCAGAAGGCACAACGGTGTCCTATGTCTCTGGGGTGAATGTGAGGGCTGGTTCTTATACGTGGCGTGGAAGTGCAACGCGAAATTATGACGTCGAATGCATCAAGTTGACCACACTTGAACTCAAGTTCATTGTTTCAGATCTAAATGTTTCGTGACATCAAATTCGCTCAGTTGCTTGAAGCCGGAGCCGATGTGTTGTTCAAAGATACAAAGAACAATGCTACTTCTAAACACACGAAACATAATATGAAAAAACAGCGATTTTTGCAGGACCGCCATTTAAACTGTGTAAAGTTAAAGCATCCAAGAAATCTTAACACCATGATGGCAATTCGTACTTCGATATTTTAAAATGTTCTGGCAGATAGATTTGTCCCAGCCTTCAGTGCAGGAAGTCGTTTATTAAGAACTAGAATTCCCCAAAGGGCATCGGAAAATCGTTGGGCCACATGCTTATGACAATATAGACAAATTTTCTTTGCTCGGGTAGAAAAAACAACAACTTCAAATACGCTTGAAGGTAAGAATTTACTGTGTGTGTAGAAATGGTATACAAGGAACTAATGCACTACATGTGCCCCTTTACTTATTTTCCCTTATACACAACATAGGGACAAGCGCTGACGGCATGCTGTTTTATTATTAACAACGGAAACCCATATCCTTGTAGCAGGTTCACCACTTGTGTATTTCAGGAAAGCGGGTTGACAAACACAAAACCAATTAACTTGAATGTTAACTCCAGGTTGTCGACTGAAGGAAAGAAGTAGCTCTCATAAAACCAACACAAAAAGCCAAAGGAACTCGCATCAAACCAAAACAACAGCAGCAGGAAGAAGATCGAATGCAAAAATATGCCTTTGTGCGCACTTGAGGAATTGATTTCGAATAGCTTGATCAGTGTATTTCTGAATGACAACGACAAACGAGTGAATGAAAGCATTCCTTTGCGTAAGCCTGCATATACGTTTTCGTAACGACAAAGATAGTGAAAGATGAGTTTAATGATGTGACTGAGTCAAGACAGTAGGCTTTTTTGCCTGCTGAAGCAACGCATTACGTAGTTGGGTCAAGCTGCAATCACCACAAATCAGATCCGATGAGTTGCACAGAGCTATTTTGTGTAAACAAAAATTGGTAATGAAAAGTCCTCATTGTTATCTATTTGTTTGCTGGCGGAATCAAAGCAAATACAAAGGTTGTGACGGACACTAAAGGAAATTTCCTGGCATTTCAAATTTAGCCCTGGTGCCCAGCCCCAAACCTTTCCAGCCCAGCTTTTCTTTCGCTGCCGACGGAAGTGTCTTCGAGTTCCGATATTTGTAGCAGGCCACTCTTATCCCACTGGCATCTAATATTAAAACTCTGTACGGCACATTCACTGCCTTAAAAGCCAAATAGCCTCGTCCCCCTGGAGTTCTCATGGTACCGAACCCATAGCTCTCTACCTTAACAATGATGGTCACATGCCTTGCTCAGGGACATACCATCTGAGTGTATACAGAATCAACCTTAAACAGGGTATGCAGGTTATAATTGCTTAACCCTAACACTCCCAAATCCTCCAATTTCAATACGATTTTACATACACCCTCGGGGGTTAGGGTTAAGGGTCCCTGAAGGCAATGAATTCTGGGAAATGCCGTCGTGGATCATTTTACTAACACGAGTTGGCAGCCAAACTTGCAGACGCTATTGTGCTGTCAGTTTCGTCCATAAATCTGACTGAAGTGACGCAACTGGCTCAGCTGCAATGCAGCCCTAACCTTTGACTCCCCAGTCTGTTGGTGTGGATACTGATGACCTGAGAGACATTGGCTCCGATGACTGGACCTCCTGTTTGTACCAGAACCTTGCGATTTTATTTGTGTCGCAAAAACCCCTGGCTGGGTTGTTTATCAGAAGGATATTTTCAAGCTCTATTTTTTTTACTAGAGACTGTTGAGAATCGACAAAAATTCGAGTGGGAGACCAAATCGACATAACCAAACATGACCAGACATGCAAACGGCAGCAGGCAAGCCCGGTCATGTTTGGGTGCTTGGTTGTGGTGTGTGCGCCGGAGTGGTTAGAATTCGGCCAATAAAGCAACGGCCTTCCCCTCCAAAGGACTCCAAACAAGCAAAACAAAACCCCGAGTTGCCATTTAGGTCAACGACCGCAATAAACACAGCGACACGAAGTAAACAAATTTTCTTTTGAACTGGTCAGGTGAAAGGTTTTAGGCACTGTTTGCTGAAGTTGCTTACAGCCAATAAATAACACGCAACATTTAAATCCAACGCATCCGGGATCGATTCAGATGGCTTCTGATTTAATTTTTTTTGTTACTGAATTCAATATCATCTCTACTTAATCATTTGAGCACATGCTCAGCCCTTGTTCACGCTAAGTGACTCATAACTACACTATTACTTGAAAATGCCAACGATTAAGCACTTCCTCCGATTAGGAAAACATCGTCTGAAAGCTCCGTTAATAATCTTTGTCACCTTGTCTTGTCAGTTCTGCCATTTTGGGGGAGATATGCCGAGACGTCTGGGAACAGGCAACGTACAATTGTTGAACTCAATCCGTGCTGGACTTCCAAGCACAAAAAGGCTTCGGGTTTTGTGCAGGACAGACAAGCTTTACCTTGAAGCGGATGGGGTTCATTATGTGCGGCAAATGATTTTACAGTTTTGTCCTTAAAACATAGACAACGAATTAGCACTGAAAAGTGAAAAAACCTGTCCTACCCAAATATACTGGGGAAAACTCACAATACAGATCCTAAGCATAATGACTTCAGAGGAATTGAGCACAGCCAAACTTATCAAGGGAAGCCAGCCCTGGCGAAAGTCAGGGAGTACACAGCATGGAAATTCTGCACAAAAACTGAGCTTTGAGCAATGATTTTGCAATTTTTCAGCCTCGACGGGTTTAGAAACTTTTGATGGCATCGGCAGAGCAAGACTTCCTGATTTTCAATGCGGCGGCTCGGGTTGGTCCATCGAACAAACAAATGAAGGTGAGTGAAAGAACCTGTTGTAAACAACAACCGTGAAGCCGCTATACTGATCAGAACAGCAAACTTCCCTTCGACAAAACACACCAAACAGGATATCGATATTTTGGCAGCTAAGGACAGGTCTGCTGCAAACTGGACATGATCGAGTCGACAAGTCTGTGCATGCTCTGTTCACGATGAGAACTTTGACAGGAAAGTTAAAACAACAGCACAAACCCTACGTGCATCCATAAGAGCACTGGATGTCGGAGGGGCAAGACCGACAGGACTCAGGAACAAAACTCGGGTCAGAGTCGAGCGACGAACACTGCAGCTGTTCTATAGGGGGCCTATTCGTTCCCTGGTAACGTGCACAAAATACACCAACGTACCAAGCGTAATCGACCAGTGGCTGAAAAATAATGGCCATGTCTCGAACTTGCCTGAGTTTACACAGAATCGCGCAAGTGTCGACTCCAAGTGCAGAGCAAATAAGACTCTTTGTCTGTGTTGCCTAGTGTGACCTACAGGGTGAAAACCGGATCCACGAGTAAGTGTTTTCATTCGCTTTTTTTGTACAGGGAATCGGGCGATTGCCACATGCTCTTCCAGGTGCTCGCACAATACAACGGTCCTGGAAGGCGCCGTCTCCACCTTCGGCACCACCACGGTGTCCTTCAACTACGCCCTCAACGTGAGAGACGCAACCAGTTTACAGCAACGTCCCGTTCTTAAGGTCTTCTGCCAGACTTGTTACGCATTTCAAGCGTGGTCGTCAGAGGCAAGTGATCCAAGCAATGGAGACTGGGTGACTGCCGAGGTCAGGGTTAAACCGTTGCGTTCTACATTCGCCGTAAGTGACTTTTTTTGTCCCTTCACCACGTCACACTCGGTTATCAGTGCGTTCAATATTACTTCCCTCGCGCTTACTCGTGAAAGCGCGACTGTTTTCGATTTGACACCCACGTGACTACTTGTGCTTACTCGGGCGTGGCCCACCTAACTTACCCGCCGAGGCGGTTACTTGGGGAAGTATCCCATAACGTAACATTCTGGCTTAGTCAAACCATGGAGGAACCTTGCGAAGAAAACTTAACACCATTGTAAACAAATCAAAGACCTGTTAATTGTATAGTGACAAATCGGCTCGGGTCAAGTAAGTTCGGTGAAAGGCAAGAAATGTGATATCTTTTTCTTTCCAACATTTTTGCTAAACAATTGACGTATGACCTCGGAGGCACCTCGAATAACCCGAGATCATCTTATTATCACATATTGCGCATGCTCACCTAAACCTATGACAACGTACGTGAGCGTGGAAGAAGTATTCGAACACCCTGCACAACTGTTATTTGCGCACATTGAAACGAGTTTGACAAGTGACGATAATTAGCGAAACTGATACCGGGTATAAATTTTGGGGTACTTGGGATGGTGTTGATGAGGATAAAAGAAACCAAACTCAGTCACGCGTTTTGACCAGGGGTGCGCCCTACGACAGGTGCGACCAACCTCAAAACTAAAAATAAGTGGTAGTAGTGTAGTAACGCACAGAAGCGCCCTCAAGAGTCTCCAGAATTTGAATTGCATTTAACCGTGCAACCAGGCGGGAAGATGGTTAAGTGGACGTAAAGCTCTGTGAGCAGCCTCGCTTTTCGGACGGTGTCTGTCCACTAACCTCCATATAATAACGAGGAGAAGAAAGATCTTTGATGCAGATTTACGAAATGACTTTTTGTCGTTCCCTCCTTGTCACACAGTTAATCCTCGAGGCCAACCTTGAAGAAAGCGGTCAAGTCATAGGAGTGGACAACGTGATGGTCAAAGACGGCAAAAAACAAGGTACACTGGGTGTCGGTCGTACTTGTTTAAATAAAAGTCGTGGACCTTTGGCAGAATGAAGCCAATAATAAGAGAGTACAGGCGAAATCGAATGCAGGTGGATCAAAGGCAATGGGAGCCAACCACTTTGTATACAATTGTGGCGTCAAAACAATGTTGGGCTCGAGTAGACCACCCTTCCACTTGAAAGTCAACCTCTTCCTCAAAATTGTCTTGCATCTAATCAGCATTACGTCTTTTCTACACGTGCTTGCACTCAAGTACACATTCATATTGAAGCCTCCAAAATCATTTTCTTTCACACTTAACAATTCCAACTTGAATCAGCCACCTCCAAACATAAACGCTCTAAAAGTGTAGGCGTTTGTATAGAGGAGAGGACCTAAGGCTGAACACTTTTTCATCTGCCAGGAGAGACCGGCATCCACATTATTGACATTTTGAAAAAAGAAGAAGTGTATATAAAATCTGGTGTCATTTTTATAGTACCACCAAGCCCTACAATTCCGCTCGAGCATCCCTCCAACTGCTTCTTGGAGGATTGGATCTCAACCGACATGCCTACTGATGGTGACGAGTCAGCGTTTCAATCGACAGGTAGGTTTGTCAAACTCAAATAACGCCAGCTCCTGCGCTCTGAAAGGTCGCCGGCTGTCCAAACTGATCGTGCCCATCGCACACGTTGCTTAAGTCACAGCGTCCAATACACAGGAAACACTTAACGTGTTTAAGCCACGCGTCCGATTAAGTCCAGGCAGAAGTGTGCAAGAAACAGTTCCTGGAGGTCATTGTATTTCATAATTATTATCTGCTGTGATCTAAAACTTGATACATATTAGATTTTGCTTCTTGTCCAATCAGCTCAATGGAAACGCATATGCTAGCCTAAGATTCATATCAAAAAGTAATACCTTGGGCCCATATCACTCGAAAGCGAGGTAAAAACCGATGAGTTACAGTGTTTCATGAAGAAATCCTACATGTAAAATGATAAAAAGTCAAACTACTAATCACAAAATGAAACCACTCTTTCTTATAAACAAGAGGTAATTATTCCACACAGTTTGTTCAAACTGTTCTCGTTACAATTTTACTTTTACCCAAACGAATCCAGACGAAACGGCTTCATACCCATCTGATGTCTCCCCAGAAAACACCTTTGGACTCCTTGATAATGGTGAGTGGCGCGAGATCTAGCAGAAGATGGAAGACAGAAGTGGCTTTGTGTTGATGGATGTTAACTGTGCTTTAAACCTTTTTCCTCGAACATTGTGCACAGTACTTTGAGACAGAGACAGTGCGTTTTGAAGTCACTGAGTCCGTGTAAAATGTTCAGCGATCAGGATGTTGCATGACCTTCTGTTTGCAATGCTAGCTGTTAGCTGGGCACTGTCTCCTCGCAGACACTTAATTGGTCCATACTTGCCGCCGGTCACCCAGCGGTGCGCATGAGAAATGACACTTGGTGGCGTTACGTGCTATGAATTGACATCTAATCAAGGGAAATATTACCATTCTCAGCCGTTTTGGGCCACTGAAACCGGAGATAAACGCTGGTCGTATGAGGTGTGTCGACTCAAAACAAGTTGTGCACTAACTTTAAAACGTATGATTTGTTGTCCAAGATGCACTTTCAGTAACTTGCTTTTTACGTCGCCACCCCCACCCCGAAATGAAACAACCGTTTTTTTCCCGTACGTTTTCTGACGGTCTACGAATGAGTGGGAAACGTGAGACAGTGGCTTATGACGTGCACATGTATCAATTTCCATTTCTGTCCCATATGGCCAGCCTGCTGGCCAAGACACTGACATCATTCCTTTATGTCTTGGACAGAGACAACGCTGCTGCTTGCCCAGATCTTGGCCATTTTGTCTGTATCTGTCTGCTTCATCACCGTTGGCATCCACTGTTTTATTTGGAGAAAACAGAGGTGGGTACCGAAGTACACATTTATGTCGTTGCTCAGTAAAGCAGAGACATTCCTACACGGCTCAAGTGTGCATTTTGCAATGCGAAATCCACCTGAAATGACACTTCTAAGAATTAACCCACTCCCATGATGATTTTCTGAGAATGATATTATCTATCTTTACCATGTGCAGATATCATTCATTAAATGTACTTAATTTTCAATCAGCAACGAACACGACACCTATAGACGACGATTCACTTCCAAATTTGTCATTGGATGGAAAATATTGTTTGCACAGGCGGATGAACCAAAGTACTAGCATTGTCCCTCTGCGGTCGAAACCAACCTCAGACGAGCCGCACGACAGCATGTTGCTCGAGATGGACTTGGTGGCATCAGACGAACCTGACCAGCCTTGCAGCAACAGCCTAGGCGAGCCCACCAGCTCGAAATATCTTCAGCAACTGCAAGACTCAGACATACTGCTGCAGCCGGACCCACGTCGGGCGACCGTAAGCCACGGATCGTCCTCCACGGCACGAAGCCCGGCTGTCCAGGCGGACGAAGAGGACGACAGCGATGACGATCAACAGCGTCCTCATCCGAGGACTAAGAGCCTGCCCTGCAGACCGCCGGTGAACGTTTACGAGTCCATCGATGAGGTCAGTAAGTACCAGCCGCTGACCTTCGGCAAGCGGCCCGCCCCGGGCCCACCGGGGCTTCCCAAGGGAAAGCGACTGCAAACTCGCAGTAAGGGTGTGCAAAATTTGGCCGCCGTCAAGAAGTACAGGCCCTCCTCTGTGCAGTACGAGGAGGTAGGAAACCGCAAGAACGGCTTGCTGCAACTGGATGAACCCAGAGATCGGAGCAAGTCGGCCTCCCACTACGATTACGTCAAGAGGAAGTCGGTCACGCAGAGCCCCAGGCGCAACGGGTGGAAGTATGGCCAGGCACAGCGCCCCAAGGGTCGCGCTCCTGCACCGCCAACGAGGCCGCTGTACGATGAACCCGTGCGGAGATCCCGGCCGGTGGTTAAGGTCGACAGCGCACCGACCTTGCTCCAGCAGAACCAGGAGTCATCAGCTGGAGAGGGCCTCCAAACAGACTACGAGAACACCCTGGAAAAGCCAAAGGTCACCTACGACAGACCACGCACGATTAATGAGAACATCGCGGAAAAGCCCACGGGGAACTCCCAGTACTTCACGCTAGAGCCACCCGTCGGAAGATACGCTACAAGCGAGGACTCGGACGATGAACGTGAAAGTGAGAGAGATATTAGCCGGTTCGAGGACGCAGAAGAGGAAATCATTCCAAACGGCACAACCGCGATCTCTCTACGCCCTCTGTCTGTCAGCGCACCGATTAACATACCGCCCTCAAAGCCAAACAAGATGGCCGACTTCGACGAGGAGTCTTCACGTCTGTAAGGCAGACTCATTGTCAAGGGAAACCTTGAACTGTTGTTCCACATCAAAACTTTCTAAGGCAAGTCTTACGAACTTGGTTTGAAAAATATGTGTATAAACGGTGATTCAATTAAGTCGTTGTTGTGTGTAACTAATTAATTACTTGATTTTTATTCTTCAAATAATTATTGGTCAAGGAGATGTCTGGCTCACCCAGCTAATGTTCACGGGAGAATTCAGGAGGAATAATAGATCTTTCATAACGACACCATGCAGCGCGGAAAATGAAGATTAAAATGTTCTCTGTAATTATTTATTCATAATTTATATTTTTCAAATAAACTTTACAAGGCACCAAACGCGATTTTAAAATCTATAAATTTAATGGTGCTGGTCTACTGGGCAACGCAAACGTGAAAGGAAAAAGTTCAGTGACCTGACTGCACGGCCAACAGAAATAAATTGGCATCGAGTAGATATCACAGAGTAGGAAAAAAAATACGTTCTTACTTCTACCAGATTACAATGCTTGCCAGAAAACTACGAAGGTCTGAAAACCTCGAGATGTCCTCACATGGTAGTTTAAGCAGTGGGAGATCAAGATTAGTTTCAATCCAGGAATACGGGAAAACATGGTAGGCCATGCCCCCTCTTTACTCCGTATTTCTTTAGTTGAGTCCCCAGTGGGTTTAAATTGTATCCTACCAGATTGGCATGTACACGCCTCCGGCTGTTTCGGGCCTGTGGCTGAAGTCTTTTAGGACTATACCAGTTTTACCAGCTCCCCTTGCCAAGTAGTGCCAACCTCAACTTCACAAATTAGACAAATGGCAAGCAATCGCTAAGATTTCAGAAGCCTTTCGTTTTGGGCGGGTCACTGTGTACAATGTGTGTTCCGGGACCCAGTTGTCGACTATTTGCCTGGCTGTGGATCGATGGTGAAAAAAGCGGGGATTTCTCTCACAGCAACACGAATGTGGCACAGAATTTCCGCTTGTGAAACTAATAATCATAGAGGAATGCAAACTTACCGTATTTAGTTATAGTTCACTATTTGAAACCACATCCCATGTTTAGCTAACTGGTCAGCATATCACAAAAAAAGAGATTCGCAACTTTTGCAAGAGAGTGGCACTATTCCGTTGAAGCAGTTTTGTCTATTGTAAATTACGATCAGCAGTCATGTAATGGTGTATTACACTGAGATTATATACTCGAAATTGTGGATAAATTGATAAACAAATAGGCCTACTAAAGCCTATCTGGGTGATATCGTCTAAGTTTTTTTTTATGTTTCCACTGAGAAAACAGGTTTAACTCTAAATTCAGCAATTGTTTGGACAGGTTAAGATCAACACCAAACATTCTGTTGCAAAAAAAATTAAATATACGCCGGAAAATACTAAAGGTACTATAACTTTTTGCTTAGTTGCTGCTCTACGTCTAAAAAATCTTCAAGGTGGTTGTTTCTATCTGAACACCCACTTTGTCTAAGAATAGCACTTCTTAATGCACATCCCGTCACTCGAATGTGTACCAGACAAAACAACCCGCGTGTATGTTATGTGTGTTCCAAAGACCACAACCTGCCTGCCTTATAACAGGAAACCTATGGAAGTGCCCTAAGAAGGCACTGAGCTTTGGCGTTAAGGAGCTCCAACTAAGCTCGAAGAGGATATGTCGGGCAAGCCGCTGAAGAGAACCGATATCCCTGCTTTGCACATGGATGACAATGCAGCAAAGACAATGTCACGATTTACCTGAGGTGGGATCCATTGCGAAGGGTCGGAGGCCACTCATTTCAATGTAATTCTAGTCTTTCTACTCAACTGCATTTAGCCCTATACCATCAATTTCTGAACATATACATCGCAGCAAAATTTCCCCGGCATTGAACAAATGCAAATCGGTAAAAAGGACGGAGTCAGGAAATAGACTTAATGACGTTCGGTTACAAAAAACCCACACGACAGTCCGTCTTTTTTTTTTTGTGCATCATTTCTGCCATCTTGCTTTTGATCCAAGGGTATGCACAAAAAGGTTTCTTTTCTGCCCTGTGGAACAGAAGAACTTCCCTGGAGAACGGTTACCATGCAAAGCCTTTGCTGACCTTTCCGCCTCAAGCAGAAGCACCCCTCATCGGTTGAAAGAAGCCATACTCGGCGGGAGTGTTCGTTTTGTTGGAAGCGATGCGACCGCAACGCGTACACTTCATCGTGAACCAGCGAAGTTCAGTTCCGACCGAAGGAGCCTCCGTTGCTAAGAAAACCACGCCCTCTCCTGGTCGAGCTCGAGGTTCACTGTGGATGCGCAAATATCCTCAATCGAGAAAGGGAAACTGATCATTTAATGCTGGCCTCTTATATGCCCGGCTGGGTACCAAACAGCAGCAGGTCTAGCAGTACACTGATTCCCTTCAGGCAATAAAATTTTCGACCAAAAAAAACAAACAAAAACAACAGAGAAAAAAACAACACTTTTTTATTCTTTCCACAGAATTAACCTATTCTTTTTTACCTGCTGAGCCCAATATGAAAAAAAGTCTCACTAGAAGAGAGAAAATATACTAGCATCTACAATAAATTACAAAACACCAAGTATTCAGTGATATAAGTAATGTTGCATTTTCAGAATGAGAAGTAAGAAGTAATAGTTTGGAACATGATAAGCAAAGCTAAAGCCCGTGATTTTTTTTTTTCGTAACAGTGGGACATCAGGTATGTTTTTCTTCAAGGATGAATTAAAAAAACTCAACCTCGGCGACTCGGTTCACCTATAAATCTCATTATTTAAATGAAGGTAACGAAAAAACGGATGCCTGCTCGTAGTTTAATGAAACGGATAAAGTTTGGACTTATTGACACCTGTTACTGCGTAAAAATTGAAGTTGTCTTCAAGGCAGCCACGGATTAAGAAGAGAGAGATGGACAAGGTACGAGGGGAAGCTTTGGTTAAGTCTTTTTGACGGTTTGCGACAGATCCCGGCAGCTGCACCACTTTGCCACGTGACCAGGAGGTGACTCATCCGCACTCCTTTCACGGGAAAGCAGCCGAGTGGTTAGACTGGCCAAGAAGCCCTCCGTCTGGAAAAATCTCATCAGACGACTGTTCTGAAGGTTGTAAACCGCACTTAATCTTGTTGTAAGCTACGTTTGTGGGTCCAAAGAACTACACGGAAGCTTGTTCATCAACTAATTGTCAAACTCATGTTACATTATAGGCCTACTTTGTTCCGCACCAAAGGCATTGGCAGCAGCTGTTGGCCCACTTCAATTTTGAAGTCCCCATCCATGATCATTCTAAACAGCAGTAAATGTTATAAGTTATTCTTCTGATGGTACCACTTGTTCCATACATTACCATTTCCTAGGATTTTTTTGATAGCAGTCAGCAATACACTAGCTCTATTATACTATACTCCTTAAAACCGCCACTGCATATCTTTATACGCCAGCAAAGTCCAGTAAAACCCCACAAAGAAAAAAGGATATATATTAAACTGGTATAGTTCTAGGCAGGTGGGGGAAAACTGCTACAATTATACACTGAGTGAGCTCGACAGTTTAAATGCTTCAGTCTGTCTGTGGTAACTTGATGGACTTTACAACCAGCGCTCACAGATGCTTGTCCAACCTTTGCTCAGTCTGACGAGTCTAGGAAAGTCCCGGGCTCCATAATGAACAGCCAAACCTCGCCGATGATGTCACTTTTACCGCTCTTTCCTGAGCGGCACCCCGCCAGATGGACTGTATATTACTAACTCCACGCGCTCACTGCTGTGCGCTGTAAAGTCAACTCCACAACACCCCACGCCTTGGGACGACCACGGGGACTAATCTCAGTCAACTCGCCGGGGCCCTGTGCTCTCCACCGGGCGGTCCCGGACCGGGAATGAAGGTGGCCGGTCTTTTAGCCCATGGATTCGATTAAGTTGGACGTCTTTGACGTAAGTTGAACTTGCCAGATGGACATGTACGGAGTTCTTGGGGCGCTCCAACCACTCCTGTATCTGTTGGTTGTGAGCAGATGTGAAGCGAGCGAAGGTAATCAATCAGTTCATTTGGCCAGAATACCTGTTTAAATTTTAAGTAATACTTTCAACCGAATAATAAAGTAAATTTTCGTCAACAACCGTTTTTGTTTATTTCTTAACAAATCAGCGAAAATTGGCAAGGCCATTTTAAAAGACCTACTTCGAAACAGTCAGTGTAGTGCACCATTTGATCGTTTCGAGTTTGCCTGTAAAGAAAGCTTGTTTGTGTTTCCTGTTATTCCACTGATGTCTAAAAGTAACAGGCTCATTGCAGTCATAATCCAATATCCTTATCATATTACTTGAGTGCTGTAACTTTTTGCTATCCGACGCGTATCATTGGCATCACGTAATCTTGTGGAAATGAAAAACGCTGAACACGTGTATGCGAGTATGATCACGATGTCACCACCCCATGAATATGACGCTACTCAAACACTTGGCAGGCTTTTCTTAAGCGCGCGTTTTAAATGAGTGAAGCATCCGGCCTGCTTGCCGATGTCTACCAAAGTAAAAATTTCTATGACGGTTGAAAAGATTTGTCTTCAGAATCCCGACAGTACAAGACTGTTTTTACGCCCTCGTTTAAGCCCAAACTGAGTGCTTCACGACTGGTCTGAACATTTTTTGCAGTACATTTTTAGACATATGCAGAACGTTAAGACAACGTAAAGGCAAGCTAGATCAAGGAACACCCCCCCCCAGCTTGATGTCTTTCGGCAATGAGTTAAAGCTGCGCAGAGAGACAACTTTTAGGCATATTGCGTCGGACAGGTCTTGACGTTTTAAACCCAGACAATAAACTAATAGACAAGCAGACACTGCTGTACAGTTCATTGCATGCTCATTCCTTGCGCATGGGAAGAGAATGTCGAAGGAATAACAGGCTGCATACACCGTAACTTGTCATGTAGCATCTAAATATAGACCAACTTTAATGTACTGTCAGATCTCAGTTAACATTCTCCAAGTCACATATCCCCTATGGTGATTATATTTCCGTCTTCTGACTGGCTTGCTGCCGCAAAGGGCGTTTAGCGCTACTTCAGTTAAAAAGGAGAAACCAGGTAATGATCGGTCCGACCAAAGGAAAGCTTACTTGTTTACTCGTGACTCCATGACTATATATGAGACATAGTTTGTGAAGCCAAACTTAATAACACTTTTGTCTGGACTGTACGGAGTGAATCCCAGGGGTGGTTTGCCCCAGAATATGTATATTATTCTCTTTACTTTCTGACGCCATTCGATAACAAGTTTCCTCACCCACTTCTCGGTAGAAAAACGAGGTAGAAGATTATACTGGTGGATCAGTTTCTCTGCGGCTGATCTAATTAACGTTTAATGAGTGACTTAAACACGGTCTATCATAGTTAATACCTGTCGCTATTAACCCAGTAAGTACTTGTACACATACAATTCCATCTGTGGACATACGATTCAACCTGCCAAGCTACTTTTCTCAGACGACTTTTTGGTTCCCCGTCTCCAAACATATTAGGAAGTCTATACCACGTGGCTCTGATTTTATCAATCGAGGAAATACTCCCCTGTAAGCATAAGCATTATGCAGACCCCGAGTTCTGTGTCAGTGTAAGGTGCGCGTTAAAATGTAAAGGCCAAAAGATTATCATACGTTGATCGGTGACCGCGTGCATAAACTTCAGGGTAAAGATAAACAGGTATGAAGAGGCGACATAGTTTTAATTCCACCGTTACTGCACTTCAAGAATCTGCCGTAGTTGTCCACGTTCCAGCTCGGCACAATGCACGGGCTGTTACATGAGACCTTAACTTTTGTCTGCTGGAAAAATTGCTGTAGCCAGAAGGCGTAACACTCGACACCGTACTGAGATATTAGTCATCCAAATGTGAAGCGTGGCACAGGGCGGGCGAAACTACAGAGTTTTGTATCATACGCGACAATGCCAGTTAAGCTGCAGAGTACACTGGGCATTTGTGGAAGGTGAATTTCAGACTTTCTAATACTCAAAGCAGCTCTAAGCACGTGAGCAAGCTTTCATAGAAGCTTACACGACGCATGTACACTCAGCAAATGTCCCAGGTGGAACTGGAATTATTTGGGAGAGGACACACAGATAGCTCCTTACAAATCCCATGTCACCTTGGACACCGATTCTGATCCCAGATGAGGCAATTTGGGCGAGACTTGGTATATCTCCTACTTGGAGAAAACTTCATAGGCCTTGTGAACATTTGCGGCACTGATTGTTATCAGCGACAAGCATTTTTTTTCTGAAGAAAAACAGGTTCATTTAAATTTGAAGATGTGTTTGCGACGACATCTCTAGCGACCTTTTACCCAAACAGTCCAAGACTACTGACTTTGCTCGACAACGTTTGTAGCAATGAATAGTTTTATGATACTATTACTGATGTTAAGAGATTCAAGGTGTGAATGGAGATTGTTGGCCTGCCTTCATTTCCACGACCTCGTCGACTTTGAAACACGATCGACCATTTGACTGAGCAATCGCGACCGACTTCCAAAGTATAGGATGGCTGGCGTCCCTCGAATTAATCTGGAGTCAACTGAGAGTCGGCTGGGCAGAGATCAGACGAACTTCGCCACGGCGGGCACCCCTGGCTACTACCCTGGTTAGGTCACCTATTGCAATCGGTCCCCTCTCTCTGTGCTCGGTCGCCTGTGTTGTGTTCCTCCGAGGTGTCCAGGGAACCAGCAGTTGTTAAACAGTGACACGCATTGCCTCAAGGAAGCCAAGTGGACTGTCCAAGCGGACCCAGGGGATAACATTGTCAGTCATCGAGCGGACGAGGTGAACAGTGGCAAGGAATGGCTATCGGGAAATTATGGTTTGAGGCCACAGAATCGGACTGCATTTGCAAATTGATCCAGGAGATGAAAAGGGAGAACTGCAGTCATCACGCTACGAGAGGCCAATGTGCCCAAGGTTCGTAGTGAGGAACTAGAACTAGAACAAGACGGTGTCTTCACTTATTGCATGCAGCGAAAAATGAATATCCGCGTGAGAAACAAAGGTGAAAATGAAAGATACAACCCATGGCTTTTGAGATCAGACGTGAAATTACCTATCACTGCGTTCTTATAAATATCGAAGCAAACTAAACATTTTGGGATGGGGGAAGCCTGAGCTATTTTGAAATAGAATGGACGCCTTTGCAAAGCTTATAACTTTCAGTCATCTTTTGGCTGGATAAAGAAGAAGAGCATATGAGCCTTGAGCTGGACCAAGAGAGGGCGCAGGTTCATTAGCTACAGAGGCTCCGTTGGTCGGAACTGAACTTCGCTGGTTCACAAACGACTATGAAACGCTAAAAATGAAATGAACACTCCCGATCCATATGGTTCTTTTCAACCGATGAGGGGGTGCTTCTGCTCGAGACAGATAACGGACGACCAAGACAAATATCGAAACCTTCTCAGAACACACATGACCACCGAAGCACAGACGCGACAATGCTAGGCGTAAAACTAAAAACATTAGGCCCTATCATCCACTTTCTTCAGAACGAGGAGAGCCAATGAGCCAGTTTGGTGTACGGACAGCGCATGCCCCAAATGAAGCGCGTCCGAGATCATTTTGGGAACAGCAACACGCGCGCAAGGTCTGCCCGTTGAACGCGGCCATACGCCGAATCGCACGCGTGCTTAGTTCTCGAATGAAGTCGCTTTTTTGAAATACCGAACTGGCTTATTTATAATAAACTGGCTCGCTTAAGGATCAAATTCCATTTTCTACCTTCTTAGTCTGAATTTAAAGGGAAAAAATGACGCAAGCACTGCAGACCAGGTCGACAACAGGTGTACAAATAGAATGTTGCACACTGGTAACATTACAATAATGATGAAATTGGAAACGTGCGAAACGCACGACTCTTTTAGGTTGCCATTTATATTTTACCATGTTTATTTTACTATGTAGGGTTTAAAGGTTCAACACTCGACTTTCCCGTGTTAGTGCCGAGGAGGACAAGTGTAACAATTATTCTTTAAATCCCATAATAAATTCAAAGCTATTTTGAAAACTAATCCATCTAATATATTGGGGATATGGAGGAAAATAAGCCTCCCCTTTTAATTGACCCAAACATCGAACTTCTGAAAGCTGACAGGTTTGAATTATCCTAACTGTATTTCTATAGATCCTGAAAGTTGACCCCAGCTTCCTGAACCTTTGGATTGGAAAAAGAACGTTCAAAGATTTTTGAATTTGTAATATTTTTCGTTCAAGTACTTCTTTAAAAATCCAACTTGGAAAAGGGCTTTAGAAAATATTTGCTAGTATATCAATCTGTACAAACTGAAAAATTACAAGACCTAAGAGAGAAATATCTTGCCAAATATTGATCCATCACTTCCGAAAATTAAAATACATTAAAAACAGTCTAATGCGGTGGTCTCGTACGCAGATGTACATTTACGGCTTGAAATTCTTTGGTACTCCGTCGGTAAAAGCCGAAATAAAAACAGATCAAAATATTTTACAAACCGCTTTGATTTATAAGGTAATAAAGTTAAAGCAATAATCTATTTTTACAAAAGATTCCAATACTTTTGCTGACAACAACTGCGTTATGTCAAATCAACGGAACATGGAACCCATCGACTACAGGTAGGTAAATGTTTGTAAAGTTTTATAATCTCCTTTTCACGTAAGCACAGGGAATCAAAACAAACATGCATGAACAAGGAGACCTAGGTACGACATCGCCGGACGTACAAGGTCGTTGATGAAATTCGTTTTTTACCTATCCCCAGATGATTTTCCTAATTATTAATTGAGGACGACAAAGGTAAAATTCCAACATGAGTGTTTTATGGTGTGGTTTCAGTTAAGAATCATTCTTCCATAGATTATCGAACGTGATAGAACGGCCCAATGTAAAATCCCCGCAGGCGGACCACACGAGGGTTCTGGAAACTCGCTGCCTGACCTTTTACTTTCAGGCTCTACACTGTCGCTTAATGGAATATACCTGGATTGTTGCGTTTGGCGGCATCTAATC